TAGTCGTCGTAGTAGTCGTCATAGTAGCCGTAGTAGTAGCAGTAGTGATTGTAGTAGTAGTAGTAGCAGCAGGAGCAGTAGTAGCAGCAGTAAGTGTAACAGTAGCAGTGGTAGCAGTTGCAGCAGCAGAAGTAGTAGTAGTAGTAGTAGTAGTAGTAGTAGTAGTAGTAGAGGAAATAATAATAAGAGCAGTAGTACCAAGTGGGAAAATTATTAGTCGTAGCAGTAGGTGACGTATGAAAATAAAAGTAGTAGTAGTCGTGGTAATAGTAGTAAGAGTAGTACTGATAGTAGTAGTAGTAATAATAATAGTGGTTCTGGCAATCGTCGTAATGATAGTAGTAGTGGTAGTGGAAGGAAAAGAGGTCGTCGTAGTAGTAGTCGTAGTAGCCATCGCAATAATAACCGTAGCAGCCGTAGCCTTAGTAGTCTTAGTACTCGTCGTCGTAGTAGTACTAGTAGGTCGTAATACTACTAATAGTGGGATGTGTCGCAGTACTAGTGTTACTAGTGGTTGTGATACTAGTAGTAGTAGTAGTAGTAGTAGTAGTAGTAGTAGTAGTAGTAGTAGTAGTAGTAGTGATAGTGATAGTAGTAGTAGTAGTAGTAGTAGTAGTAGTACTAGTAGTAGTAGTAGTAGTAGTAGTAGTAGTAGTAGTAGTAGTAGTAGTAGTAGTAGTAGTAGTAGTAGTAGTAGTAGTAGTAGTAGTAGTAGTAGTAGTACTAGTAGTACGAGTAGTACTAGTACTACTACTAGTACTAGTAGTAGTTGCACTACTACTTAACATAGATGCAGTGATCGTAGCACTAGTAGCAAAAGTAGCAGTAGTAGTAGTAGTAGTCGTAGTAATAACAATAATAGTATTCGTAATCCTTGTAGTCGAACAAGTAGTAGTACTAGTTGTAGACGTAGCAATGAACAATGTAGTTGCATGTGTAGCCGTACTAGTAGTAGCAGTAGTAGTAGTAGTTGTAGTAATACTAGTAGTAGTAGTAGTAGAAGAAGAAGAAGGAGAAGTAGTATTAGCAGTTCTAGTACTAGTAGTAGTAGTAGTAGTAGTAGTAGTAGTAGTAGTCGTAGTAGTAGTAGTAGTAGTAGTAGTAGTCGTAGTCGTAGTCGTAGTCGTAGTCGTAGTCGTAGTCGTAGTCGTAGTCGTAGTCGTAGTCGTAGTAGTAGTAGTAGTAGTAGTAGTAGTAGTAGTAGTAGTAGTAGTAGTAGTAGTAGTAGTAGTTAGTAGTAGTAGTGGTAGTAGTAGTAGAGGGAAATGAGGAGGAGGAAGAGCAGGAGGAAGAGGAGGAACGATTGAATTCCCCACCGATAGAAAACGGGGGGGAGGAGCAAAACTCAAGACTCACCTCGGTTACCCGCACAAGAGCAACAAGAGGCCCCAAGAGGCCTCCCGGAGGCCCTCCAGAAGGCCGCCGAGAGGCATCCCAAGAGCTCCCAAGATGCATCCGAGAGGCCTCTGGCCCATGGACGATGACGGCGTGGGCCACAAGCCATTAGATAACCAAAACGAGTCGCATGCCAGCACTGGGTTCCCTCTTCCATGTGTGGCGGGCGACTGGGCTGGCGAGCAGACCCCAGCGAGGTCTAATTTTGCTCAGGTGGAATAACGCGCTGATCGTGATAACAGCACGCGGCTTCAAAGCACCCGAGCCGGTACATTTACACTAAGCAGCTGTTGCCATGAGCGTGATTGGGGGGTGCGTGCGTACTGCACCTATTGATCTGCCATCGTGACCCTCTGGCGCGTGAAAGCGTGGTAGAATGCAAACTTCCCGCCTCTGCCCGCCGACTTCCGCATGCACCGCCACGCCTCCCGGTAAGCTACCGCTCTGCGCTCACACGGCCACGCTCCCCAGTCAAAAACGGGTGGGCCTGGGCTCCCGAGGCCACAAGCACAGATACACGCTACGGATCGGCGCTCGCAAGGCCACGATCAGCGTTCCCGAGGCCACGACCCCCGCAAAATACCATGGCCGTGGTTCGCCGCTGCCGAGCTTCTCAGGCGGCCGAGGCATGCCACCGAGGTCGCCAAGAGTGCCAATGATGCCTCCAAGACGGCCCAATGATGCCCCCAGGACGGCCCGACAGGGCAACCATATGATCCCCTGGAGGGCCTGAGGAAGACCAACCCGCAAATGTTCCTCCAAATTGTTCACAGGGCTGACCGTCTTCCCCGTTTTCGGGCGTCCTGCAGCTCCAGACGGCGTCACGAGAACGAGAAGGGAGCCCCCAACACGACGCGGAAGAGCGTTGCACATGTCAAGGCTCTCCCAAGCCTCGGGACACGAGGCGTCAAACGTTGCGCCCCCCCCCCCCTCCCGACCGTGCGCCCCCCCAACAGTTGCCAACCAAAGTGCTAGGCTGGCACGGTGGCGGGACTTGCCGCAGGCAGCTGAAACGGTCCGGCACTTGAGGCAAGCTCTGCGTAAACAGCAGGACCTCAAGCACCAGCTATATTGAGTGCCAGATGTCCATTGACGTAATCGGCGCATGCCCTAACCGCACAAGTCCTAGAGCGCGTTCCTCCGAGCACAAATCCATCCCTATCGTCCCTTATGGCTGGGTGATCCTGACCTATGTTCGGGTTATTCCCTCGCCCTCCCCCATTTACACGACACGCGCCTATTGCGTACACGCCTGCGAGCCACGACAAGAGGACGTCTGCGTGAACAACACGGGCGGCGTTGCCTAAACACGTAAGCGCTATAGCCGTCATGCTACTGTAAGGAACGTTTGATCAGAAACGAGGGCGCGTTTCTGGCCGCGGCGAGCCTCGGCTCCGCATACATTCACCGGCCTAGATCTGAGGAGCTGCCGAAAGCCAGAGTCCCTCCTCAGCCCGAAGCGGTCGGTACTCTGGCGCCTTAAATGTGCGTTCTTGGTTAGCCCACGAGTTTCTAACACGTCGTTCTTGGCAGAGCAGCCGCTCCGACACCCCGTGCCGATGGACACCACAAACCAACCTCGAACGAAACCACATCGAGAGGCCTCCGCGTGTCGACGTGCCCCTGCGGCGGGCTGCGTGCTTGCCGCGTCCTCCCCGCCCCCCCGGCCCCTCCATCTTTCGTCGTCTTCGTCTGTCGTTCCCTCGTCTTACCGCTGGGCTCCGCTGCGATGGTAAAGTGTCGACGTGCCCCTGGTCTGCCACTCCCATATACTCGCCCCTCCCCTAAGGCGCCATGATGAGCGCTGTGCTGCCGAGCCCGCGGTGCTGCGGTCGGGAACTGTTGCATATCATGTCGCGGTCGCGGCCAAGCGACACGCTGTCCTGCAAGCAGACAGCGTGCCCCTCCGTTCCGCGTGGTGGGAGGCGGGGAACAGCTGGAGCCGTTGACGCTCGAGCATTGGGACGTGGACAGCGTGTTGCGCCGAGGCGGCGCGACACGCCAAGCCGAAGTCCAAGAACCATATAAGCGATGCGTTGTCGGGACTGAGGTGCTAACGATGCCGAGTCTTCAAACTCCGTGTGGCCAGCGCCACATAGAACTCCTCCTCCACGGCTCCACGGCCTCCTCCGCCTCCCCGCCGCTCCTACTCCTGCCTTTGCCTATGCCCCGTCTTCAAGGTTCCCTCCTCCTCCTCCTCATCCTCCTCCTCCTCCTCCTCCACCTTCGCGTCGGCCCCCGCCCTGAGGAGAGACAGCAGGGGCACGGCAGCAGAGAGCAGAAGATCAAGGCAGAGAGCAACGATAGAGAGAGAGAGAGAGAGAGGGAGCAGCAGAAGACGGCAGCTGGCAGCAGGGGCAGAAGCGAGCGAGCGAGCGAAAGAGACACCCGCCGCAACGCAGCGCCGCCAACCCGCAGATCCCCCAGCCAGGGCCCCGGCGTCACGCTTACCCGAAGAGTGCTTGCACTCAGGGGTCATACCTCCCTTCTGCGGGACTGGGCCCGTCCGCGGCCACGGCGGTTCCGCCCCCGCCCGTCGCCGCAGCCCCGTTGCACCCCGCCCGTTGCATCGCAATCGCATTGCATGGCAACCGCAATGCATTGCATTGCTGTGCATCGTGGCGCATTGCTTTGCACTGTTGTGTACTGCTTTGTATTGCGGTGCACTGCGTTGCACTGCGTGGCATTGCGTTGCACGGCGCTGCATTGCTGCGTACTTCTCTGCGCCACATCGATTGCACCACATGCATTGCACCACCTAGGTTGCATGTGTACTTCTTTGGGCCACATCGATTGCACCACATGCAGTGCACCACCTAGACTGCAACACCTTGCTTGCACCACCCAGGCTGCGCCGCCCGGATTGCAAGAGATCACTGATTGGGGCACGTACACGCTGGCCAACATTTTTTTCATGACGTCGACCCCCAAACGGTCTCGCTCCATTCCCCAGGACTGGTTTCTCATCCCGAGCCGTTGTTTGACCACCCCGAGGCCAGGCAAGGGGGCCCCCCCCAGGGGCTGAAAATATAGCGAAACGCCCTCCGTCGAGATTTGTTGTCATGACTTTCGGGGAGCCTGGGTCCCAATCCTCCTCCTCCGCCCTCCGAGTGCAAGCATCCTGCCATCCCGTCCTCCTCCAACATCATCCTCCGCCCTCTTCCTCCTCTTCCGCCTTCGTCCTCCTTCTCCTCCTTCCTCCTCCGCGTTTTCGTCTTCTCCCCCTCAAGAGAGACGTTCACCCAAGCGGTGCTGGGGCGCTCTCTGGCAAAAGCTCCAGAGGGAGTCCGGCCGCGGCGGTGAGGAGCCTCTGGGGGAGCACCCGAAGAGGGCGGAGAGCGCCCCAAAACCCTCGATCTTCGATCCTCGATTTTCAATCCTCGATCTCCTCCAAGTCCTCGTCCTCTTCCTCCTCCCCATCCTCCTCCTCCTCCTCCTCCTCCTCCTCCTCCTCCTCCTCCTCCTCCCCCTCCTCCTCCCCCTCCTCCTCCTCCCCCTCCTCCTCTTCCTCCTCCTCCTCCTCTTCCTCATCCTCCTCTTCCTCCTCCTCCTTCTTCTCCTCCTCCTCCTCCTCATCCGCGCACCCTTCTTCCGAACTGGACGGCCTGCTGGCGCGCGTCTTCCACGGCCAGCATGCCCTTCGGCGACAGAGCCTCGTATCGGGCCTCCAGCGAGCAAGTAGAATGCCGGCGGTCGTCCTGCCACATGCCGCAAGCGTCCAACAGGCATCGCCATCGCGGAACAATTGTTTCCAATGGTAATATCAAGCCGACAGCAACGCAAGTTAACAATCGACACCGATCCACTCAACAGTTGTCAAAGAGCTGAAACCAGAGGGCTGGAGCACAGAGTGTGGCGATATGAATCAACCCTGAAACGTTTAAGGCATCGGGGACCAAACATTACAGAAACATGAACTTTCGGATGTCCGCGCGGACCAGCGCAGGAGCCCCCTAGAGGCGCCTCCGTTGCCACCCCTGGCGCGCTCCGCCGGGGAGAGGGAGACCACCGCCGAGCCAAGAAGCCAGCGCGTCCTTCCGAAAAATGTCATGGTTCGCTCCTGAACGCAGGATGAAAGCAGGACAGCATAGCCTGGCGCGGATAACAACATTGGAGCCATAAGCGTAATGGCGCGCTAGAGTAGCAATCCAGCCCTCTCTTCCAATGGCGGGCTAGAGTAGCTTTGCAACCGAGCGAACAAACAATCGTACCAGCGTGCGTGCGGCCCCAATGCGGGACACGAGTCTGCGCTGCTCCGACCCTGCCAATGCACGAGGGTGTGGTGTTAAAGGTGGCCCCTCTTGGCTCGGCACGCCAAGCCGTCTGGGGGCAGCGAGTTTGTGCCAGAGGGTGTGTGCGGGAGGGGATCGGGCACTGGGTGGGCGCTCAGCTTGTGAGACAAAAGGAACCGAGCACCGCCTCAAGACTGTGGACTGATCTGATATGATACAAAGCTCGCTATGCCGAAGCTATTCCCGATAGCGATGGGGAGGCAACAACATACTACATGATTCGCCACCGGGCCGTGCCGTGCCGTAGGCACTACGTGGAAAGTCCTCAAAGATCTTCGCGTTTTCTGCGCTCTGTCTCGTAAATATTCCACAGGGTTCCAGGAACCCCAGCTGCCAGATCTCCTGTATCGGGCGTGTCGCGCGAACTACCCCGAAATCAGAAACGACAGGACACATCCATATTCATATTTGTGCAGGTGTACATATTACTGTATATGTATGGTACATGCATGTGTATATATATATATGTATATACATATATATATATATATATATATATATATATATGTGGGTTTGTGTTTGTGTTTGTGTCTATATGCTGTTCCCCTACCCTTTCCCCCCGGCGCCGCCTCCGCCACGCGCCTGGCCCTGCTCTGAGCGGGCCCGGCTTCTCCCTCCTTCTCGCCGCCGCCGGGTGCCTCCACCCCCCTCTCCTGCATGGTGGTCTAATTTGCGTTCCGTGCATCCCACCGACGCCGCTATCGCCAGCGCAGTGACTCTGCCTAGCCGCCGACACAAAATGCGTGTGTGTGTGTGTGTGTGTGAATGTGTGAATGTGTAAATGTGTGCGCGTGTGTGTGTGTGTGTATGTGCGTGTGTGTGTGTGTGTGTGTGTGTGTAAGTGGAAGTGTAAGTGTAAGTGTGTGTGTGTGTGTGTGTGTCTGTGTGTGTTTGTGTGCCTGTGTGTGTGCTTGTGTGCCTGTATGTGTGCTTGTGTGTAGGTGTGTGGGTGTGCGTGTGTGTTTGCAATTGTTTCGGCCACGGAGGGTGGTACCACGAAGGGGTCCTGGGAGCTTCCCTCGCAAGATGGCGCCAACTACTACTCCCAACGTGCACCCACGAGCCTCCAGAGGCTCCCAAGACGCCCAAAGAGACCCGAGAGGCCCCCCGGAGAGGCCACAAAGAAGCCAGCGAAAGCCTTCAAGAGGCCCCAGAACCCTCCAAGAGGCCGCCGAAAGGTAGCCCAAGAGACCATCGGATGAATACAGTAAGCCTAGGACTCACAGCTCAGGAACGGTGGCAGAATGTGGCGAATGGTTACCACATCAGCCTTTGGTGGTCCACGCCGATTCTTTGGTCGTCGCGCAGCACGGACCTGCCGTCGCCGCACTCCTGCGTCGCCGCGCAGCAATTTTTTCATCTCTGGGGCCGCGCAGCACATACTGCCAGAAGCCAGAGGCGGGGCGCAACAACGCTTGCCCTTGGCATGCCTTGGGCGCCTCCTGAGCCAAGCCCGTGAAACTGCGACGCTGGGCGACCTCCCTGCAACCCGAAACATCCGGCGTCTCGAGCGCTTCGAGACACAACCCCCCGACCTCTCGGCCACTTCCCCGCGACCAGTTTTTCATCCCACGAATTTTTTTTGGTTGACGGCCTCAGGGCCCAGTAGAGGCATCGAACGCCACTCGCGGAAAAACCTCCGCCTTTCAGGGACTTTTCCCTGGCGACGACGGGCGAACCAGCTGGCGGACGGACCGACCAGCCGGCGAACGGAACCGACCAACACGCCGACGCCGACGGGCGGGCCGATGCGCGGGTCGGCTAGGTGGAAGACGACGACGCGCGGCGGGCGGGCATCGCATCGCATCGCATCGAATCGCCGACGACGCGGCGGACGGACGGGTGTCGACGACGACAACGACAACGACGGACGATAGACGTAAGACGAGGCCAACACGAGGATAGCATCGGGTGAGGATTAATCGAGAATCTCTGAGATCTGTGGTTCTGGAAAATGTCTCGGGCGCCTTCTCAGAGCATTCCGGACCGCTCTGAGAGCGTTCCAAAACGCTCTGGGACGGACTCGTCCTCGCCCTAACCCCTAACCCCGACCCCCGACGTCACTATCTTTTCATGACGTCGACCCCCAGAAATTTCGACCTATTCCCCAAGACCGGTTTTTCGTGCTGAGTCGATTTTTGACAGTCCCGAGGCCCGGTAAGGGCCCCCGGAGACCAAAGATATGGAAAAACCTCCCGTCGTGATTTTGTTCATGACTCGAGGGAGTCTGGGAACCCGGTCCGAAGACGAAGCGACCGGCGGACGGACCAACCGGCCGGTGGGCCAGCGGACGGGCCGAGCGGCACGCCGACGCCGACGAACAGGCCGCCGCGAGCGGCGGCAAGCTCTCCCCGGGCGGGGTGCGCGCGCGGGGGTCCTGGGCGCCCCGGCTCGCGAGGCGAAGGCGCGGGGAGCGGCTGGAGCGCCGGGAGCCCGCTCGCGAGCGCCGGCGGTGGGCGCGGCACAGCTCCTCCAGGAGAGCAGAAAATCCACACATCCCACGTATTGGATGATGGGCCTGTCTTCCACCACCACCATCATAAGCTGGAGGGGGGAAGGAGGAGGAGGAGGAGGAGGAGGAGGAGGAGGAGGAGGAGGAGGACCCCCTCCCCCTCAACTTATGGTGGTGGTAGTGGAAAACAAGCCTATCATTGGAAACTCAGGGCGGACGTGCTTCACAGTTTTCGGCCTCACAGGGCCCCGGGACCGCCAAAAAGCAGCTCTGGCTGAAAAGAATGGCCCTGGGGTATGGGCCGAGAGTTCCCGGGACCCCGTATCGAAAAAAACACCACGTCGGATCTCTGGGCACCTCCAAATTTAAGCACCCCGGCAAGAGAAGCCGTTTAGGAAACGCACACCAGGAAGGAATGGAACAGGGCAGGGCTGTTTTTACTAAACGCCCAGTGCCGCTCAGCAAACGCCAAAGTTATTGGGGTCGGGGGTGTTCTTTTGTTCCTCCCTTGCTCCTCGGTCAATAGGAATTCCTAGGAATCGTTTCTAGGAATCCCAGGGTTTCCTTTAGGAATCCGATCCTGAGGATTCCTATGGAATCCTTCGGAACTATAGAAGGAAAACCCACGAGCCCTCTTGGCGTATGTGATCTAGGGAGGTTCCTCTTCCAACCCACTTCTTCCCCTTCGGGGAAGGTTTTACCAATGTTCCCTACCTGTACGACCACCCTCTGGGTGATAAGGTTGTGGAGGGGTGGAGAGGGGGGGGCCCAATATCTGACTCAATCGATCTCACTATCGATCTCACTCAACGGGACACCACGGGACACCTGGGGACACCACGGGACACCGCGGGACACCAAATCGATCTCAGTATCGATCTGACTATCGATCTCACTCAACGGGAAACCACAGGACACCACCGGACACCTAGGGACACCTCGGGACACTTGTCGATCTCACTATCGATCTCACTATCGATGTCACTATAGATCGCACTCAATAAGAAAACAACGGGACATCACGGAACACCTCGGGACACCACGAGATACTTGTCGATCTCACTATCGATCTCACTATCGATCTCACTCAATAGAAAAAAAAAACACAGGACACCACGGGACACCACGGGACACCTCGGGACACCACATCGATCTCACTATCGATGACCCTCACTATCGATCTCACTCAACGGGACACCACGGGACACCACGGGACACCTGTCGATCTCACTATCGATCACACTATCGATCTCACTCAACAAGACACCACGGGACAACACGGGACGACTCGGGGCAACACATCGATCTCAATATCGATCTCACTATCGATCTCACTCAACGGGACACCACGGGACACACCATGGGACATCTCGGGACACCAGATCGCAATATCGATCTCACTATCGATCTCACTCAACGGGACACCACGGGACACCTCGGGACACCACGGGACACTTGTCGATCTCACTATCGATCTCACTATCGATCTCACTCAACGGGGAACAACGGGATATCACGGGCCACCTCGGGACACCACGAAACACTTATCGATCTCAGTATCGATCTCACTATCGATCTCACTCAACGGGATACCACGGGACACCTGTGGACACCACGTCGATCTCACTATCGATCTCACTATCGATCTCACGATCGATCTCGCGCAACACGAAGCCACGGGACACCACATCGATCTCAGTATCGATCTCACTATCGATCTGACTATCGATCTCATTCAACGGGACACCACGGGACACCACGGGACACCATGGGACACCGCGGGACACTTGTCGATCTCACTATCGATCTCACTATCGATCTCACTCAATAGGAAAACAACGGGACACCACGGGACACCTCGGGACACCACGGGGCACTTGTCAATCTCACTATCGATCTCACGATCGGTCTCATTCAATAGAACAACCACGGGACTCCACGGGACACCTCGGGACACCAGATCGATTTCACTATCGATGACCCTCACTATCGATCTCACGCAACAAGAAACCACGGGACACCACGGGACATCTGTCGATCTCACTATCGATCTCAGTATCGATCACACTCAACGGGACACCACGGGACACCACGGGACACCTCGGGACACCACATCGATCTCAGTATCGATCTCAATATCGATCTTACTATCGATATCATTCAACGGGTCACCACGGGACAACACGGGACACCATGGGACACCGCGGGACACCGCGAGCCACCACCAGACGGACGGACGGACGGGGTAGAATCGTTTGTCTTGACTTCGCCCTAGCAACGGCGGACACCACGGGACACCACGGGACACCACGAGCCACCACTAGACGGACAGACGGACGGGGTAGAATCATTTGTCTTGACTTCGCCCTAGCAACGGCGGACACCACGGGACACCACGGGACACCGCTAGGGCCACCACCAGACGGACGGACGGAAGAGCAACATTTGTCTTGACTTCGCCCTAGCAACGGCGGACACCACGGGACACCACCAGACACCATGGGACACCGCTAGGGCCACCGCCGGACGGACGGACGGACGGAGAAACATTTGTCTTGACTTCGCCCTAGCAACGGCGGATTCATTCCTCTCGCGCGCCCACGCAACTTCGCCTCACCCGCACGCACGACACGAACGAAACGACACGACTTCCCGGTTGGGGGTCTTCGTTCCACTTCCACTGCGATCTCACCCCCCAACCTCCGAAAATCATACACCCCCTCCCCCACCTGGCTGGCAGCCAATCTGGAACAATGAGGACACCATGATTCCCTCCCCCCCCACCATCCCTGCCAAAAAACAATACAAAACGCACCCTGCCGTACCTCCACATTTGGAGCATGCGCGGCCGCCCCGCGACCACTTCGCATTGGCATTGAACAAGGATAAACGCAGGTGGAGCCACTATTGGTGCCCAGTGGCAGCACACCTGGCGCGGCTGGAGCACGTGGAACACTGGGCGCACGTGGAGCACGTGGAGCACGTGCCGCACCTGCAGCGCCTGCCACGCTTGGGCGTCCAGGGTGTCTGGTGTGTCTGGAACCCGTGGCTTCTGCTGCGTTCTTACGCGATGTGCTGACACCCGGGTGTTACTTATGTGTTGGGGGGGTAGGTGGGAGTGAGCAAGACGGCTTGCGGACGGGTAAGTAGCTTGACCCCACCCCCTGCCCCCTCCCCTGGACCTGGACGGGGGGGGTCCCGGGTAGTTGGAGCATCCAAGATGGCCCAGGATGGCTCCAAGAGGAGGGCCTCGGAGAGACCAAGATGATCTCTAAGATGGTTCAAGATAGCCCGAGATACCTGAAGATGGCTCCCAAGATGCCCCAAGAGGCTTCAAGACCGCCCCAAGACGGCTCCAAGAGACCTCCGAGACCCCCAAGGAGGCCCCCCAAGAGGCCCAAATCCTTCAGAAACCTGAGGAAATCAATGATTCATGCATCGTTTCCCGCTCGCTTTCGATAGCCTTCCGAGGCCTCAAGATAGCTCCAAGATGGCCCAAGAGGGCCCCAAACGAAGCCCAAGAAAGCCCCAAGACGACCCCAAGAGCGCCCAAGAGCGCTCCAAAAGCGCCCCAAGAGGGGTCTAAGAGACGAGTTTAGGCACCCTCGAGGGGCAAGGCTGACTGCGACCCTCCCCTTCTTTGATCGATCTCCTCCAAGATCGCCCCAAGAGCGCCCCTAATGCTCCCAAGAGCGCCCCAGCCCCAAGAGGCGCCCAGACGGCCCCAAGTAGGGCCCAAGATGTCTCCAAGAGACTCTCAAGAGACCCCCAAGAAGCCTCAAGAGGATCCCCGAATCACCCAAGACGCTCATAGACGGCCCTGGACCCGCCAAGGGGCCTCTAGACGCCCCCCAGACGCCTGGCAAGTCGCGACCTGTGGTACGCGACCTGCTTGGTGAAGGTACGCGGCCTGTGGTACGCGCCCTGTCGGTGATGGTACGCGACCTTGCCGGGTTGCACTTTGGCCGTCCAGGTCGAGGAAGGAAGCGGGATGAAGGAGTAGGACGAGGCGCACAAGAGATCCCAACGAGCCCCCAAGAGGCCCCATATAAGTCGAACGTACGCTCCCAAGAGGTCCCCCCAAATGCCCCAATACGCTTCCAAGATGCATCCAAAAAGCCCCAAGAGTTCCTCAACGCTCCCAAGACGATCCAAGGAGCATACAAGCGCTCAAGAGATATCCTGGGAGACGCCGAGAGGCATCCAAGAAGCGTAAAATCCCCCTGCTCGCCCTCCTCCTCCTCCTCCTCCTCCTCCTCCTCCTCCTGCTCTTCATCAGCAAATTGATCATCCTTCTCCCTCCTCCCTCCTCCCTCATCCATCCTCCTCCCTGGAGCGATGACGGCTGTCCCCCTCTTTGCTCTTACACTTCCCTGATCGTCTCAACTCGCCTGGGCGTCGTTTTCGGATGGGCTAGTGGGGATACTTTTTTGGTCGCGTCCGCGAGCGAAGAGCGCAGGCGGAGACAGAAGCTGTCCGGGGCACGGAAACATACCTAATTAGCTGCAGGGCGCGGGACGGGCCGGCCGGGCCAGCTCACAAGGGCTAGTGGGGATACTTTTTTGATCGCGGCCGCAAGCGAAGAGCGCAGGCGGCGAGCAGGGTGTCCGGGCCGACGAACAAGCCTAACTAGCTACAGGGCGCGACAAGCAACAGAGCGCAGCACGAGCCGGCCGGGCCAGCTCACAAACGCGGCAGCTGGGGCAGCAGCAGCGGGGGCTGGCTGGCTGAGCTGGAACGCCCTGGGAAGCTCAAGCAACGTGCAGCCCTGCGGCAAAATGCCAGGGAATTCTGTGTTACGCGCTGTGGCGGCCAGACGTGGTAAACGATGGGCCGTCGCCAGTGGGGCGCCAAGCCCAAGCTGCGCCAACGGCGTGTGTTGCCAGCTGAGCAACTCCGCCGAAAAAGCGCCGAATACCAAGCTGGTGGTGGGGTGGGCCCGGAGGGCGGCCGAAACTGCGAAGGCTGAACCACTCGGAGCTGGCTGTACCTCCAGGGGCCGTGCGCGGCGTGAGGCCAAGCTGGTGGGGAAGAACATCGCCAGCAAGGTGGGGCGTCCAGGGTGGAGCTGCGCTGTCGCAGCCGCGTGGTGCACGCCGAAGGCCACCATGGGACGGCCTTGTCCGCCGCGTCCGCCATTCCCCGCGGGGATCCAGGGTCACCGTCGAATCCACCATACCACGTGGGTTCCATGGTCGCAGCTAACCGCCGCTGAAGGTGAGCTAACGTTGCCACTGACAGCGGGGGTCCAGGGCAGCCCTGGGGAGTGGGGGCGAGAGCCGTCGAGACCAGCCGGCACGCCTGGCGGCAGCCCGGCCAAAAGAAGAAATGTTTTTTCCGGCACTGGAATGAAGTCTGGGTGCACTAAACTCCCGTGCACTGCGCGTAGTCCCGGCGCCACGGGTCAGCGCACATCTCCTTGAGGGAGGCCTGGATCTCCTCCTGCAGGCTCATGGGAACCAACCCCGCGCACTGCGCGTAGTCCTGGCGCCGCGGGTCAGCGCACATCTCCTGGAGAGAGGCTTGGATCTCCTCCTGCAGGCTCATGGGAACCAACCCCGCGCACTGCGCGTAGTCCCGGCGCCGCGGGTCAGCGCACAACTCCTCGAGAGAGGCCTGGATCTCCTCCTGCAGGCTCATGGGAACCAGTCCCAAGCAAGCTGTATACTCCTTGCGAGCCGGATCCGAGCACAGCTCCTTGTGGAGAGCGGCGGCCTCTTCCTCCACGGACATCGGGACCAGCCCAGCGCAGGCCGCGTAGTCCTTGCGAGCAGGATCCGAGCACAGCTCCTTGTGGAGAGCCGCGATCTTCTCACCCACGGACATCGGGACCAGCCCGGCGCAGGTCGTGTAGTCCTTGCGAGCAGGATCCGAGCACAGCTCCTTGTGGAGAGCGGCGGCCTCCTCCTCCACAGACATCGGGACCAGCCCAACGCAGGCCGCGTAGTCCTTGCGAGCAGGATCCGAGCACAGCTCCTTGTGGAGAGCGGCGGCCTCCTCCTCCACGGACATCGGGACCAGACCAGCGCAGGCCGCGTAGCCCTTGCGAGCCGGATCCGAGCACAGCTCCTTGTGGAGAGCGGCGGCCTCTTCCTCCACGGACATCGGGACCAGCCCGGCGCAGGCCGCGTAGTCCTTGCGAGCCGGATCCGAGCACAGCTCCTTGTGGAGAGCCGCGGCCTCCTCCTCCACGGACATCGGGACCAGCCCGGCGCAGGCCGCGTAGCCCTTGCGAGCCGGATCCGAGCACAGCTCCTTGTGGAGAGCCGCGGCCTCTTCCTCCACGGACATCGGGACCAGCCCGGCGCAGGCCGCGTAGCCCTTGCGAGCCGGATCCGAGCACAGCTCCTTGTGGAGAGCCGCGATCGGATCCCGGCGCAGAGCGAGCAGGATCCGAGCACAGCTCCTTGTGGAGAGCGGCGGCCTCTTCTTCCACGGACATCGGGACCAGCCCAGCGCAGGCCGCGTAGTCCTTGCGAGCAGGATCCGAGCACAGCTCCTTGTGGAGAGCCGCGATCTTCTCACCCACGGACATCGGGACCAGCCCGGCGCAGGTCGTGTAGTCCTTGCGAGCAGGATCCGAGCACAGCTCCTTGTGGAGAGCCGCGGCCTCTTCCTCCACGGACATCGGGACCAGCCCAGCGCAGGCCGCGTAGTCCTTGCGAGCAGGATCCGAGCACAGCTCCTTGTGGAGAGCCGCGATCTTCTCACCCACGGACATCGGGACCAGCCCGGCGCAGGCCGCGTAGCCCTTGCGAGCAGGATCCGAGCACAGCTCCTTGTGGAGAGCCGCGGCCTCTTCCTCCACGGACATCGGGACCAGCCCGGCGCAGGCCGCGTAGCCCTTGCGAGCAGGATCCGAGCACAGCTCCTTGTGGAGAGCGGCGGCCTCTTCCTCCACGGACATCGGGACCAGCCCAGCGCAGGCCGCATAGTCCTTGCGAGCAGGATCCGAGCACAGCTCCTTGTGGAAAGCGGCGGCCTCCTCCTCCACGGTCGTGTTCATTCTGGCAAGGGCCGCGTCGCACAGGTCGGCGTGCGAGGGTGACGTATCCACCTGGACCTGATTCAAGGTCGGTGTCCACGCCATCCTCCGCAGGGCCGAGACGGACTTAATGATGGGCCCCTCGGGCACAGAGTCGCCCCGAACGCGCTCCGGCTCGGCCTCCTCCAAGAGGGCGGACAGCTCCGCGTCGGTGGCAGCAGCATCGTAGAGCTGAGCATCAACGACAGACTGCTGGTACCCCGTCTGCAGCTGCACGCCCAGCTGACAGCACACCAGCAGCCCCAACAGCGCGGCGGGCACCCCGAGCGCCGCGCCGCGGGCGCCGAGTAACCCCTGCGGCTTGCCTGCCGGCTTGCCGGCCGGCGCGGCCGCCAGCTTCACGAAGAGGTCCACCGCCCAGAAGCGGACCTCGCGCCGCACCCCTGGGCGTGCGGCCGCGGGCGCGGGGCTGGGCTGCTGGCGAGGAGCGCCGCCGAGCCCCGCCACCGACGCTTCGAAGAGGTCGACCGCCCAGAAGCGCACGGCGCGCGGCGCGGCCCCCGCCTGCGCGGCGCCCGCGCAGCCTGGAGACATCTTCATTGCCGATGCACTGGACATCGCTGTAACGTTACCTGGTAGGTTTAGTAACTCCGGAAGCGTGATGCGCTTGGCACTCGAGTTGAAGCGACTTGAGCCAGAGGGGCTACGGACTAGTGGGGATACGCGAAGCGTCAAGAATTTCTAAGAATCATTGGGAACCCGTATGGATCCTGAGGGGGCTCGCCCAAGACATCTGGCACCTCGAACATGATCAAGGCCGAGGGTTTTTTACGTGTTCGGCCTCTCGACTGGGCCTCGGGATCGTCAACGAGCGGCTCGAGACGAAAAAACTGCCCTGGCGAAGTGGTTGAGATCCCGACCCCCGACTTCATAATGTTGACCTCCAGAGATCTCGACCCATTCCCTGAGCCAAGTTTTTCATCCCGAGTCGTCTTTTGACGGTCTCGAAACCCAGAGGCTGAAAATCCCAGGACCGGCTCAAGACGGCCCAAGAGGCGCGTGAGACCGCCCAAAGGCAGCCCCACGAAGGGCCCATGAGGGGAAACACGAACGGACAATCCGAGTCTGCCGCCCCAAGAAGCCTCCAGGAGGCCTCCAGAAGCCCCCAGGAGGCCTCAAGAGATCCTCAAGAGGCCCCCAAGACGCACGAAGAGGCTCAGTCCCCAATCCTGTAGGTTCTTGTAGTGGCACAGACCACAAATTCACGGGGCTCCCGGCGTGCCCTCTTAGGCGCGTCGAGTGTTCCCGCATGACTTTTTCTGACCTAAGAGGGCCCCAAGACGGGCCAAGAGGGCCGCGATAGGCCGCCCAGACGGTCCAGAATGGCCCCGAATCGCCGCACTCCAAAATGCCAAGGATGGCCTCAAGAGGCCCCCAAGACGCCCCAAGAGGCTTCAAAACGGCTCACAAGAGGCCCCCAAGAGGCCCCCGAGAATCCTCCCGCGACATCCCAACGAACATCCTAGAGGCCTTTGACCCACAACCCAGACACAGTGGCGGGATGTGCCGAAGGCCACTGCGCAAAACCTTCCGTCGTGATACGTTCATGGCTCGAGGGCGTATAGGGACGGCAGGTCGGGGTCCCGTGCCTCGGAAAAAATGGAGACGCCCGATGTCTGCGCTGTCGGCTGCACCCTATACTGCTCCTCCTGCTCCCCCCTGCTTCAGCATGGGTGTCACGGGTCCTGAGGGAGAGGGAGACGGGCCCTGGAGCCTGTCTTCCCCCAGGACGAGATCTTCATCCCGAGTCGTTTTCTCACAGTCCTGGGGTCGGTGAAGGGCCCGAGAGCCTGAAAACGGAGACAAACCTCAGGACCCGTTTCCATTAGGCTCCGTTTCCCTCAGGACCCGAAAACGGCGAATATCAGCCAGCGTTGGCTCCACATAGATAGGAGGACAGGAGGAGGACGAGAGGTGGATGGGAGGAGGACGAAAGGAGGACGGGAGGAACAAAATCTAGCAAGCGCACGCAAATAAGCGGACGCAAGCAAGCACAAGCGAGCAATAACAAGCAAGCAAGAGCCAGCGATCAAGTGGAAGCAGGCAAGGGCAAGCAAGAACAAGCACGCGAGAGCAAGCACGCAAGTGCAAGCAAGCAAGTGCAAGGAAAGCAAGAGCAAGCAAGCAAGCACGCAAGAGCAAGGACTCACCATCGGAAATAGCTGGGGGGGGCCATTGGACATAAGGGGGGGTGCCATTGGAAAAAGGGGGGGGCTGGGGGCGGGGGGAGGGGAGGGCCATTGGAAATAAGGAGGGGTGCCATTGGAAAACGGGGCGGGTGCCATTGGAAAAAGGGGAGGGGGGGTCCTAAAGACCAATTGCGTATGATGAGCTAGGACTTCTATAGGGCAAGCCTATTTGGAGAAAAACCTCAAGCGCTGCGGGGACGGGGAAAAAGGCCCCCAAGTCGGAGACCGAGGGGGGTGCCGTCCACCTGCGGGTCATAGACGCCTCCTGCTGTTCCTGCCCGTCCACTTGCTTCCCTTGCTTCTCCTCCTCCTCCTCATCATCATCCTCCTCCTGCTTCCCCCTTCTCCATCTTCTCCTCATCCTTCTCCTTGTTCTGCCTCCTCCTTGGGCTGCCTCCTCCTCCTCCCCTGAGATCCTGGCTTCGTAATTCTTTCGAGCTGGGTGTTTGTGCATAATTTCAGGCCCCGGGACCCGCACAGATCGTGCTGGCTTGCAAAATTCCACGGGCAGATCTGAGGCTGCGGTCGTGATTGTTTCACGTTGATATATTTTTGTTCGCGTCGACGTCGGATCTGATCAGGGTCTCCTTCGCACAAGATCCTTCTTCTCCCGTCGCTGTCGCCAGCGCTTATTGCTGCTCCTCCTCCTGCTCATCCGGGGGGAGGGGGGTCACTGTCGGCAGCGCTGCTGCTCCTCCTGCTCCTTCTGCTCCTGCGAGCTGCGGCCACCAGGTGAGGCCCCGAGTCGGGCAGAGGGGGCGCTGTCCACCCGCGGGTAGTAAATTCCGATGCTCTGTTCTGAAGCTGATTCTGGTTCATATCCAACGCTGCCACCATTCCACGGGGGCGGCTGCCCCTGGGGGAACCATCGAGACAGTGATCTGCACATGAGAACAGAGACCCTGAGATCCTGACGGCAGAGAAATCATCCGACGTTGCCATCGCATCCAAGGGCCAGTCGGCCCTGGGGAAGGTTGCTCAGACTGGTAAGCCAGGTGGGTCCCCGCCGGCCGGGTGAAGAGAAACTGCAAAAGGCATCGACAGCAGAAGGAGGACGAAGAACGAAAAATAACCAACGCAAGAACGACTACCGTAACTTCGCGCCGCGCGCTCCGCGAAACGCGAGAGGGCAAACAACTTCGCGCTCTCACGCCGCCCCCTTGGGGGAAGAGAGGGGGATGGGGAGGACTCGGAATCGAACCGCGAAGCGCAAAGAACTTCGCGCCCTCGAGGGCGCCCTTTCTGCTTCTCCTGCCCCCGTCGCTGCCGTCGGCGCCGCCGCGGCCGCCGTCCCGGATCGAGGCTTCCAGGCGCACGCGCGGGCCTGCGCCAGACTCCAGGCGGCACTGGTCGTCTCGCCGTCGCCCGTCGCCGTCGTCGCCCGTCGTCGCCGTGGCCGCAGATCCCGCGAACGAGACGGCGGGGCCGAGGGAACGAACGAACAAACGACCACATGGGCGTCGCTTATTGGGGGGGCGATCAATGGGGGAGAGAGAGAGAGAGAGAGAGAGAGAGAGAGAAAAGAGAAATATATAGAGAGAGAGAGAGAAACAAAAAAACAAAACAAGAGAGAGAGAGAGAGAAAGGGAGAGAGAGAGAGAGAGAGAGAGAGAGAGGGAAAAAAAGAGAGAAAGAGACTGCGCCAAAACGACCCAAAAAGAAACTCACGAGGCCCCCAAAGGCTCCCAATAGAGACCTACAAGGGCCGTGGGACGTCGCCAAGAGGGCCCGAGATGACCCTGACCAAGACCATAGAGGGCCCCAATTCCCCAAGAATGCCCCAACCCGGCCCAAGAGGAATCCGAGACGGCCCAAGCGGGCTTCAAAGTACCCCCAAGACGGCCCAGAGAGACGCCCAGGATACCTCCAGAGGTTCCCGAAGACCTTGACATGCATTCGTGAGGCCCACAAAGAGGTTCTCCAACGAGGAGCCCATGCTGCATCGTGGGCGCTCGTGAGCCCCACGCCATCGCCCACATCGTTTACACAGCATAGTTACCACCACGTAGCTAACACCGATGAGCATTCACAGCATAACTCACACCACATGGTTGACACAGCATCGATCCCATCACATAGTTTCAGCTTCATACTTCCACCCCCGGAGATCAACACCTCACCATTCGTGGTCTACGATGGTTCATATGTCTGTTGGTTGTATGCCTTCGGGAGCCGCTGGAAGCCACCAGGCTTCTTAGCTTCTGCAATATTCGGAGGTTTGGGATCGACGTCGGCCTCCAAACCCGCTGCAACCCGGAGGGCCTGAAACGTTGGCTGCGGTGCAAGCAAGTGGTGCAAGCTCTGTGGTGCAAGCTCTGTGGTGCAAACTCCGTGGTGCAAGCTACGTACTGCAAATTACGTGGTGGAAGACATGTGGTGCCAGCTGTGTGATCCAAGCTATGTGGTGCAAGCAGTGTGGTGCAATATATTTGGCGTCGGCTACATGGTGTGGTGTAGGCTGTGGTGCAACCCATACGGTGGAAGCAATGTGGTGCAAACTATGCGGCGCCACGCAAAGGGGTGGGCCCACGAGGCGCACACGCGGCAAAAACCAAGCAACCGGTCACGACGCACGGGGCGCCCACACAGCGCCCATCTCGCGAAACCCTGACGACGAGCGACCACGCACAGGGCGCCCGACGGGCGAATCCACCACAGCAATGTCAAATCACGAGGCAAGAGTAACCCTTGGTGCGCGGGTTTCGGGGGGGCGCGGGGAGGCCAAACCCAAGCGCGGAAGCCACTGCGATCCGCGCCCAAGGTCACTCCAGCGAAAGGTCACTCTGACGTGTAGCCGAGACATGTGAGAACCCATGAGTTCAGACACTCTTGGAAAAACTTCGCCCGACACCAATCTGCGCCACCTCCCGCCCTCTCAAAGGGGCGCGCGGACCCGACGAGCCCTTCATCTCGAAGAGCGGGCATCAAACTCGGGAGCCAACATGGCGCCCTGGCTGGCACCGTCCTGGCCAAGCCAGGGTGTCGCATTCAACGGACCTGGGCCAAAGGTGGGTCTGGACGGGCTCTGTGTTGGTGCCTACTTGGCATCATCATGATACAGAGTTGGCCCAGAAACGCTGGGCGCACAATGACACTGTCATCGGAAAGCCGAGGGAGAGGAGGGGTGAGGCCCGCTTTTTGTTACTCTCCCCCAGCCCCTCTGGAGCCCACGGTCCTCCCAGGTGATCTCCCGGTCGTTGTCGACATCAGCGCTTTGGAAGAACTCCATCACCGCCTGCCGTGAGGCACTCTCCTGTAAAGGGGCCCAGAGACACACACAAATGCTTTTCGACCTCAATGAGTTTCCTTTTTTTCTACCATATTCCAAAGAATTTCCTGTCCCCTTCAATTTTTCACATCTTCTCATACGGTCGGGCATTTTTGCATGACGAGTCGCATCGGCAGCCCCGGCGACACGTTATGCCCTGCGTGTCGCGCCGCAACGTGGTGGGCCAGCACCGGCAGCGCGACACGCTACGCCATACTTCCCGACCGCATCTTCCCGAACATCAGCGTGCGTTTGTGTGTTGCTCATGAAAGCATAGAAAGGCGCCACCACCACCATAACTCCGTAGAACTTCACTTCTGAAGGCCACCCCCCCGAGCTGGTGGCACTCCGTTCTGAGTACTCTCTGGGGCCGCGCCCAGAACTGGGTGCCACCAGCTCAGGGGGGGGGGAAGGGGCCAACACCCCTAGTGATGGTGATTCTTTCTTTTCTGGTGAGTTGTGCCGATTTCCCCCTCCTAGGATCCTGCTGGATCTCCGAAGGCAGGCCGAAGAAGGCGGCGACCTCCGGGATCTCGCGGCAAGCCTTGATGAGCTCCCTCAGGTTGATGCTGCCTGGCGGCCGAAAGGGAGGGGCAATGGTTCGAGTAGGAGATCGACAACGGAATTGATATTGGTCGAATCTACGACCGATGCGTAAAGGTTCGTAGATCTACAAAACACTATGCGTGTTTTTGTTGTTAACTGCATATTGGACGAGAAGAAACAGTATTGGGGTAAATCAATTCTGCAGTCGATCACCTACTTGAGCGATAGGGGTGGCTAGCCCAGGGGGTGGAATATCGAGCTTGACTCGGACATACATTGCGGTGGATGGGAGACTGGAGGTGCATACGATCCCCCCTGAGCCTACCCCCCCTGACGTTGCCCCTGAGAGGGGGAGGAGCGTGCATGCGCGGGAGCAAATCCTCCACGCCGGCGGCGTCCCGAGAGGCCAGGCGGGAACCAGACCCCGGTATCCTGTTTTTTCTTAGCGTCGACCCCCAGAGATCTCGACCTGTTGCCCTGAACCAGTTTTTCATCCCGAATCGTTTCTCACAGTCCTGCGGCCCAGTAAGGGCCCCCGGAAGCTGAAGATAGCGGGAAGCCTCCCGTTAGGATCTTCTCTCTGGCTCGAAAGGGGTCTGGGGATGCGACTCCGCGGAGGCGCGCGGCATCGCCGGGGCCCCGCGGGACGGCGAGCCGCCCGAGGCAGCGCGCCCGGCAGCTCGCAGGCCGCGGCTGCAGGAACTCCGCCAGCGCCAAGACGCGAGGAAGATCCCGGAGGGGGTGGGGCCAGGCTCCAGGGCCCAGGCGAAGCGGAGGAGAGGAACACCCCCACTCCTCCTCCTCCTCCTCCTCCTCCTCCTCCTCCTCCTCCTCCTCCTCCTCCTCCTCCTCCTCCATCCCCTCCCAGCCCCCTCCTCCTCTTCCTGTTTCTCCTCTCATTCCCTGCTCGTCTCCCTCCTCGTGTCCGTCCTCCTCATTCTTCCCCCCTCCTCTCGGTGTCCTCCTCCTACTCCTCCTGGTCCTCCTCGTATCCGTCCCCGTCCTACTGTCACACATCCCCCTTTTCCTCCCTCTCCTTCTTCTCCTCCTCCTCCTACTCTCCTCCTCCTCCTCCTCCCTCCTCCTCCTCCCTCCTCCTCCTCCCTCCCTCCCTCCCTCCCTCCCTCCTCCCTCCCTCCCTCCCTCCTCCTCCCTCTCCCCTCCCTCCCTCCCTCCCTCCCTCCCACCGGCTGTATGTTGTGTTGTGTTTCTCTCTCTCTCTCTCTCGTCGCTCTCTTCGGATGGACTTCGTTCATCCCTGGCTGCCGTCGCCGTTGGCGTCGCACGCTTGAAAGACCTCCCACAGCGCCCGAAGGTCCTCTGTGTCCGGCGTCTCCCCGGCGTTGGATACGCGCACCTCTCGGCCAACTTGGGCGGCGCAGGGGGGCAGCCGAGACGCGAAAACGGACGACGAAGATATATCCGCAATCGCTGTCGGCGTGTATGAAACGTTGGTTCCGTTCGAGTCGTCGTCGTCTCCATTGCCGCTCTCCCCCTTTCCCTGGGCGCTCCACCTCAAGCGATCCAGCCAGACGGACATCAAACAACGTCTTAATCGATTCGAAGGGAAGCCGTTTCCCTTTGATACCCTCCCTAGCAGGGTGCAGGTCCAGGGAGGGATCCTGGGAAGGGGACCCAAGTGGGGGGTCCTGTGGGCGGTCCCTGGGGGGACCCAGATGGTCCCACGCCCGTCGATTTTTTTCCCACTGGGGCGCCCCGAGAGGACCGCGCACCCCCAAGGGTGGACGCGGGCGGGTCGCGGCTCCCTCCTGCGCGCGAGCCCAAGCTGCAGGCGGAGGAGAGGAGGAGGGAACCAAGTGAAGAGCCTGTGGGGCTGGAAGTTGGCCCCCTGCCTCCCACTCCGCCCCCCTATGGAGACCAATGGAAAAAGGAGTGGGGAAACATCACATCGGGATCACCTCTTCGTCCGACTCCATGCGCAAAGCCTCATCGAAGGCCCGGGGCTCGCTTGTAGAAGAACGTATGCAGGCCGCAGCGGCCCTGCTCTGGCATTCCCCTCAGCGGCAAACCCGTCAGCGTCATGGATGTCTTTGGCGGCCCCTTGGCGGAAGGTATGGGAAGCATCCCAGAAGTTTCTGCCGCCTGCGCGCCGACGGCAACAGTGGCATCGCGAATGCCATCCAGGAGCTTGCTGTAGTACAACGGCGGGATATAAGTTCACTGGGGTCGCCGAGGCCAGCAAGCAGCCAGGACGCGCACATGTGCACGCAAATCGCGGGGCCGACTTTGCAAACAATTGCGGCCTCAAGCGTGGACTGCGCGCAGCTGCCCTTTACGCCTGATGGGGCCAAAGCGCACTGTGCTCCCGTCCGCTTGCAGAAGATCACTGTTCCAAGGGCCCGGATGGGACACGAACCAAGAACGCATACGCCATTATGTAGCCCATGCCCCGACAGAAATTCCCGGTCAGGGCACAATGCGCCAAGAGTTGCAGCTGGCTCTTCTGAATACGAGGCCTGGGAGGCGCTGGAAGCTGCAGCTTGCGCGCCCCAGGCCTGATGTCGGCCAAGACTGGAGAATGAATGCTCCACCAGCCAATGATATCCAGCCGGTTTATGGAACTTGCGCCACGCTGAACGCATTGTCTTGAGCGTGCCTTCGTGTGTTTTCACGGCGGCAAATGCGTGCGCAGTGCTGGATGGGCATGTTCAGGAGCTCGCAGAAAGCGTTCGCTGTCCTTGCGGACGACATGTACCTGTTGAGCGCAGAAGCCCCGAGTTTCTTGATCAACAGGATGTCCAATATCGCATGGACGTCGAGACCGTATTCCTGGGCAGAGCGCAGCATGTCGAGCTGCTCGCGCGGCGGTGCGTTCGCGCTTGTCCTCCGCCGACTGCCGAGAGCGACCCAGACGAAATCGCACGCTGCATTTGGCGCAACTTGTGCCGACGAAGTGGCCGACTCCAATCTCTTGAGGACGTCGCTGTCGGCGCATCCTTTTGCTAACAACAACCGCGGTTTCGGCCCCTCCAGACACGGGAAAGCAGCTACGCGCCGCACGCACTGACAAGGACTCGCGTTGCGAACCTCTACCAAAGATCCCCAACCCGCAACCTCAAGCGATGACCGGGCGCGGGAAACAGGCGCCCCCAGGACAGCTGAAAAGGCTGGCCCTGTACGGGTGGAGAGCGCGACGCCAGACGGGGGCTGGCGCGCGACAGCTGCCCGCCGACTGGAACGCCAGTGGCGGGGCCCCCAGGCTCGCGGCCCCGGATCGCCTCGCCGCGCGAAGAGCTGCATAAGCAGCCGCCGCGCGCTGCTGGAAGTCGGCGAAGGCGGCAAAGCGCGTCGACCGACCCCTCGTGGACCCTGCGCCGATGCGACTGCGGAGCCGGGGCGGCGCGCGCGGGCGCACGCGCACGCGACGAACACGCGGCGACTGCCAGGCACGACGCAAAACCCGGAAACTGCAGGGCAACGCTAAATCCAGGCGCGGGGCAACCGCAGGGCAACTGCAGGGCAACTGCGACCCCGAGAGCACGACGAATCCAAATTGGATACAAAGCCCCACGACCGTCGCACAAGAGGGTGGCTAAGATGGGAGAGACCGCGTTTCACGGGCGCTTGCCTGGGGAACATTCGGCGCCGTCGATCAAAACCAGGGGGACTCCCCTCCCCCCCTGAACCCCCCCCCCCCGAAACACCCTCTCCCCTCCCCCTCCCCTCCCAAAGGGGGGGGGTTCAACCCCCCACCCCTCCCCTCCCTTCGGCGCCGGCGCCGGCGCTGGCGGCCGCCAGCAGCGCCCACGGCGGGGACGCAACGACGATGACCAGAGGCAGCCAGCCCAGAGGGGGGGGGTTTGAACCCCCACCCTCCCTGGCGCAATGGGGGGGGGTTCAACCCCCCCCCTGGCGCCGGCGCCGGCGCTGGCGGCGGCCAGCAGCGCTGGCGCTGGCGCCAGCGACGGCGGGGACGCAGCGACGTTTACCACCACTACCACCACCACCGCCACTACCACCACCACCACCGCCTCAACCCACCCCACCACCACCACCACCACACACCACCACCACCACCACCACCACCAACAACAACAACAACAACAACAACAACAACAACAACACAACAACCACCACCACCACCACCACAGTCACCACACCACCACAACCACCACCACCAACTCACCATCACCACCACCACAAAAACCCACCACCACTACACCACCACCACCACAACCTACCACACCACCACCACCGCCACACCACCACCACCACCACAAACCACCACCACACCACACCAAACCACCACCACCACCACCACCACCACCACCACAACCACCACCACCACCACCCACCCACAGCCACAACCACCACCACCACCACAACGAACCACCACACCACCACCACCACCACAACCACCACCACCGCCACCACCACCACCACAACCCACCACCACCACCACCACCGACGTCCTCGTCGACGTCCCCGCCACCGCCGCCGGCCGCCGCAGGCGCCGGCGTCGGCCCAGAAATGGAAATCGTCGTCCCCGCCGCCGCCGCCGCCGCCGACGCAAGCGCCGGCCCGAGGAGAGGGGAAGCAGGGGAAGGGGGGGGGTCGAACCCCCCCCCGCCCCCCGTCACGGGAGGGGGGGGGTGGCGGAGAGGGGTTCGAACCCCCCCCCCTCCATCCTGGGGGGGGGTCCGGCTTCCCCCCCCCTCCAAGCGACCACAGAACGCGCTCTTTCTAAGATGGCCACTGCAGTCCGCTTGCCCAGCAATCTCGAACCCGAGGATCTGATGAAACCCAAAGAGCAACTTGAACTCTTCGACCGCGAAGTGCCCCGGGGCGCACTGGACCGACGCGCCTCGCAGCAACCGCCACTGCACGGAGCAGCCGAGAGCACTGCCACGGCTGTGCCCTCCCGCCAAACGTCGCGCATCTGGGCGCGACCGCCGCGGTCTCTTGCGCGATTGCGTCCCCAACGAAGGAGACGGAATACCTGCGGCGCTCTGGTCTCCGACCGGCTTGGTAATACACAGATACCGCGGGTGCACCGCGGCCGCTGCCCCGGCGGGCGCCGCGACGCCGTCGACGCCCATCGTGCGCATTTTCTCGTTGAGGCGCGTCGCGGACGCGACGCCGCCAGCGCGAGACCCCTGACATCCTCTTATTTTGTCGCCCTGCGCCACCCCGAGCCCGCCGATGATTTGAGACACGGAGCGGCCGCGGACGATCTCAAGCCACCATTTGCAACCTGCTCATGGACGGAGTGTCACAACTCTGCCCTGTGCTCGCTGGCAAAATTGATGCGGCCTTCCTCTTGGCGGCGCCGGGCCGACTCCAACATCGATGCTCTGGGAACCGGGTCTGCTTCCACCCGAGGCGCCCATGTCCCGGACGGCGGGGTGTCCCCAACCGCGTGGAAGCCGCCCTGCAGGTCAGATGAGAGCGCAGCGTCGACGTGGCGCACTGCCAGGAGCAAGGCGCCGAGCAGGGGGCCTGGCAAACGTTTGCACACGTGCCGCACTCTCTCGGGCATGGCGCCCGCCCGCGCCTGCTGCTCCCCTGTCCGCAGAAAGCGCCGGCGCCTACTCTGTAGCTTCCTTCGCCCACTGCTACGCCAACGGGCCAACCCCAAACCTGGAGCGCATGGCCAATGGGTCATTGATGGGTTGCTCCTGCTTGGTGCCAGGCTCGGGCAAGGCAAAGCAGGCCGACTACGCCCATTTGCGGTTGCCACGGGCGCGCCTCTGCGCGGGCCATCTGGCACCGACGCGGGCGCCGACGCCGCCGCCTCGCGGTCTGCTGGCGCGGCAGACGGAGCGGTGGGCACGCGCGCGGGCGTCTGCCCAACCGTCGCGGGGCAGGCCCAGGCCGCTGGCGGGGGCCCCCCGCCAGCTGGGCCCCCCTGGCGCTGCTCGCGTTTGGGCGGCACCAGCCCGCGGCTGCGGGAGCGTGAGCGCCTGCGCTCTGCCTGCCCGCCGTCGGCCCTGTCCTCTGCGCCGCGGCCGCGCGACCACGGCTGCCCGCCTTTGGTCGTGCCCTTGCTGCTGGCCTGCTCCAGGGCACGCTGGTCCCTGGTCTTGATCAGCTCCAGGCCGAGCGGCCGAATTTGGTTCGCCAGGCAGCCCTCCTCCGTCTTGGCACAGAACGGGCACTCGTGGTGGAAACCGAACGTCTTGCCGCGCTCGTGCATGTTGCACATGCCAGAGCAGTGGCGAAAGCAGAAGCGGACTGCATCCGACTTCCGCCTGGAGCTCGCGCCCGGACCGTTGGGTTTCGCCTCCTTCACCTCTTTCTCCGCCAGTGTCACTGGATCCTCTTTATCGCTAAGCATGGCGTCTGCAAAAGCTTGCGGGTCCGTCTTCCTCACGGCTGCTTTCCAGGCGCTGTCTGGGACGAGCTGGTCGCAAGCCATGGCGTCCTTCAGTGCCTGTGCCAGAAGGCTCTTAGTGTTTGAGGCCAGCGTCGCGACCTTGTCCAGATGATTAAGCACCGTGGCAACGCTGAGCCGACCATGAAGAAGCCTGACCCACGAGAACTTGATGAAACTGGACGTCCATTCTGCGAACGTGCGGCCCTCTGTCCAGGCCCGGTCTTCCTCCACCCCCTCCACAGTTCTCTGTCTGGGAGTGGCTTGTTGCACGTGGCCGCCGACTCGCAGAGCTTCATATGCTTCGTGGCGGGTAGGTCCGGAGAGCTGGCTCCCGAAGCCAGCCTGCCGATGAGTGTCCCGAAGTCGTCGGGCTGCTCCTGCTCCTGCAACAGCTACAAGGCCGAGCCGCTCGACAGCGCAAGCGCCACCTGGAGCAGGCGAAGCTGCTCTTGCGGAGCGCTCCACAGGACTGCAGCCATTGCCGGCGTGTGAGACCAGATTGTCTTCACAACTTTCGCCACCGACGACCGGACGCCAAGCGGCGTCGGGACCCCCTCCTGAAAGCCAGAGCTCAGCCTCCAGTAAGACGACAACTTGTGGACAAGGTCGCCGAAAGAGGTAAACTCTACTAGCACACGAAGTTCGCCAAACGAAGCCAGACGCGCTGAAAAGAACACGTGATTGCCCTCATTGGCGAGCTCGCGGGGCCCGAAGGTGGCGGTGACGAACTCCATAATCAACCTGTTCTCATCCGAAGGGCTGCTACCCCAACAGGACATCTGACGGAGGGATGCCTGAAGCGCTCCACGCTCTCCCTCGACATCCATGCTGGCGAAAGCACGGGCAACGCGCGGGCGAGACGGTCAAGAGAGGGAGGTGGCGCGAGCGCGCGCGGGGCGTGGCGCGGCTCGCTCCTTCGCGCGAGCCCATGCCGCGGGCGGAGCATAGGAGGGGGGAGCCAACTGAAGAGTCTGGGGGACACTGGAAGGAGGAGGTCCCGGGAAGGCCCTGGGGGTCGTAACCTCTCCCCCCGGGGGGCTCCCCTGGTGGACAAGGGGGGCATTGAGGTGGCCTCTGTGGACAGGGGGGACTCAGGACCCAACCCCCCGCCTCCCCCCCGCGGACAAGGCGACCCCAGCACCACCCCCCTCCTCGACCCCCTCCCCAGGAGGCACCCTCCTCACTCATATCTGCTGTTGTTGCGGGGTGCCTCCAAGGGTTCAGATCAGCTCCGAGGCGGCTCCAAGTCGCCACGGAGCTTCCCAAAAAGTCCCCCATGAGTCCCCCCAACAGAGCCAACGAGGTTCCCAAGAGAGCCCCAAGAACGGCTCCAGAGCGTTAGCGTCATCGTCGCCGCCACCGTCGCCGCCATCATCGTCGTCGTCGTCCCCTTAACCAGATTCCGCACCTTCCGCCAGTTTCCGCCGAGGGCGAGGTTCGCCGAAGGTGAATTCTTTCCTGGAGCGCGCCCATTTTGCCTTCGGCGGTCTTCGGCGGTCTTCTGCGGGACAGCTGTGAGGTTGGGGTTGGAACTCTTTTGTCACCATTCGCGGTTCTAACGCCCGTTACCGGGTCCGCCTGCCTTCCCCCTGTGACGTCGCGCTTCGCGCCGGCGAACTCCCAGATGGCGCCGGCGCACACTGTGACGCTACCAGCCCTCTCCTCCCCCCTAAAAAACCTACAAAAGACGTACGCACCCAACCACGTATATGAATACAGCCCCCCAATCCGCGAGACCAGCCTCATAATGCGAACGTCCGCGCAATACGTACTTGCGAAACGAGCGCGGATTCATGTACGTGTACGTCCTACGATCGCTCCTGACCCTCTCCCCCCCTCTCCTCGGCACCTGCCGTGATTATCGCCACGGGGGGAGGACAGAACAGGCTATTTACGAGGCACGAGGAGGCGGGGCAGATGAGAGGGGAGAGGGAGCGCGGGTGCAACCGAGAGAGAGGGGCGGGCAGGCGAGGAGGAACAACTGGCGCGCTCCGCGGTGGGAGAGGCGCGTGCTCGTACCGTGATGCAGTCAAAACTTTGTCAAAGAGAGATCGGGGATATACTGATACCGGTCAATCCAGACCCGAGTCAGTCGAGCTTTGCAGGATCCTGCAAGATCCTGCAGGATTCTGCGCCCCAGCCCGGGTCAGTGCGCCCGTGGCTCTGCAGGATCCTGCAAGATTCGGCGCTGTGGCTAACCCCCGTTTGCTTTGACCCCCGTCTCTTGAGCCCCGAAGCAAGGTCACGTTCATTTCAGGTGGTCGAAGTGGTCTGATCTCGGGCAGTTGTGTTTCGTCTTGGGAGTAAAGAGCAAAGTCTCTTCTTGACCACTTCAACGCCTAGATCGACGAGGAGTGCCGAACGACAAGGAGGGGCCCGAAGAATCTCGAGCCCCCTTCGAAACCAGAAGTGCCCCGATGTGTCCACTGTGCGGCTCCATGCGAATCATCTCTAGATGCCTGCAACGAGACTGACACCGTACAAAGCAGGTCTCGCTTCGAACGCTCTGATTTGTTCAAAGCTTTCTCCCGGGTGGCTTGAAGGCAAGTGTTGGGGGGGGGACTGGCGAAGGGGGGGACGCATCCACCTCCAATCGGCGATAAATTTCCGATAGATCGGCGATAACGTTCCTGGGCAGGTTGGGGCTATCGGGCCCCCATCGGCGATGAATGGGCGATTGGGGGTCGACGCATCCCCCCGATGCCGAAATCCAGCCCTACCGTTGCCCCTGATGGATACGTCGTGGAATTTCAATGCACGAACACTCGCCCTCCGAGGACACCAGGAAAACGTGAACCTTCAATGCACGAGCACTCTCCTGGCGCGACCTCCGAGGAGGCCAGAAAAACGTGGCCAAGACAGGCGGGACATCTGCACCACGGCCGAAGGCCAGCTCCCTCCGGTCAAGGGACAAAAAGGTAGAGCTCATTCAGGTTCGACCGCGTCTTCGCCCCCGCCCCTTCCCCCCAGATTCAAAGCTGGGTCGGTCCTCGCGGAGGCCCTCGAGGTTTCACGCCTGTGCTGCCGAATGCCTGGGGACAGCTTTGAATCCGGGGGGAGGGGGGGTGGGGGGGAGTCAAGAGTTCCACTTGTGTCCATCTACGGTCCCCCACTCCACCCCAGGGGCTCTCCTCTCCTGTGGGCACCAAGACCCAACCACGCCGTCTGCCGACCCCAGACAACACAACAACAGGCAACAGGCAACAGTATGGAGGAGACCACTTATCGTGTTGGGAGGAAGGGATTGGGAGGATGAAGGGCATGAGCAATAGCACCCTGATGCAATGAGCAATGAACGATACCTTCGGCCGCCTACGGGTAATGATATCCTCATGTCTCCCAAACCCAGCCTCCCATCCCGATACTTGCCTTCCTGAAAGGTGTCCGACCCATCAACGACGCCACTGGGATATGTGCTAATCACGTGCTCACGCAGCGCATCACGGCGGGTGTCCATCCACAACGATTCCCAGCCGAAGCCACGAGTGCCTTTCTCAGCCCACGCGTTCTTCAGGACGCATGACGTTGATATCTGGTCGTCAGCCTTCTGTTCTTACAGCGCATCTTCAAAGGGCCTCAGCAGACACCAAGTCGGCCACCCAGACAGCCTTTCGAGGCGCCCTCCCCGATCGCGCGCAGGCCCTGCCCAGGAAGCCCCGAATCCTTTCCGCCCTCCCATCCTTACGAGGGGGGGCGATCAGGGGGAGCGGGGGGGAGAACCGGGCTCAGGAGGGGGAGGGGGACAGCGAGCTTGAACCAGCGAGCTAGGTGTGCCCCCGACAGCAGAACTGCACGCTCCTGGGCGGGCCGGGCTATCGGGCCTCTAATCGGTGATGGATGAAAGATTGGGGGTCGCCGCGTTCCCCGCCTGACGCTGCCTCAGACCTCACCACAACCCACGCTCCCCAAGGCCTCTGAAGCCCGGGGGCGCAAGGCCTCGTTTCTGCTACTCCCGAGGCCACTCCGTCGACGCATCCTGCTCAGAATTTATAAGAGCATCTTGCCGTGGCGACGAAGGCTCTCGAGGACACGCAGCGGTATCGGTATCCGTTCCTCCTCCGAAACTCGGCGAGCGGCCTGCACGTATTTCGCCATCGTCGTGAGGGCCTCGTAGCGATCCTCCAGGGAGTAGGTGGACACCCTGCGGAGGTCCTGCGGGACGCAAGCGGTGAGATGGCAGGGTCAAGAGCCTAGTGCGGCAAAAACGCCCCGAGCGTCGAGACAGGAGGTGCGAGACGAATTAGAAGACGAAACAACGGCGTAAGCATGAACATTCGAAGCTTCGCGCGGACTTCGTGGATCTGTGCTGGGCCCCGCTGTCGACGCCTCTGGCGCCGCTCCTGGTGCGCTCCGCGTGCCAGGGAGGGGGGTCCCGCGTATATACAAGAAATCCGCGCGAAGCTCCACAACAGTTTATACGTTTGTGCAGTCTTATCTTCTTCGAAGGATGCGATTGAGTCGAGCTTGATTGTGGAGGACACGCGAAAGAACACAAGACCCTCCCGAAAGCCACAGTGCCATAGGCAGGCAGACGGCATGGGTCACTAAAGGCAGGACACAAGGGCACCCTCGAGCTGGCAGGATCGACGTACTAATCCAACTCGACAGTATCTGCGACCCCCCCACCCCAGGACAGGCAGGAGCGACTGCTCGAGCGTTGCCAGAAAAGTGACCATGGCCCTGGGCGGCCCCAGGCTTCTCAAAGCGCCCCCAGAGCACCCCTCGCGAGGCCCAGAGGGCCCGCGGGGCTCTAGAATCGTGCGAAGAGCCCGGGCCCTTGCGGACCAGGACCACCCGGCGAAAGACACCCCCTGAAATGAACATCGCACCCCCTGTGCGAAGAAGGGACCTGGGCGGAGCCCACGACCCCGCCTGGGCCCCTCGCCCCCGACCTCCCCTGCCAGGGAGCGTGGGGGGGGGGGGGGGGGAAATGGGGCCTCGTTCCCATGGAGCCCACAGGGCCATGGCATGGACCCCCTGGACGTGGATAGACACTTGGCGGCGCGCAGAGGGGGGTAGCGGGAGGGGGAAGGCTTCTTAGAAGCAGGGTGCTTCTAAGAAGCTTCCCCCCTCCCCCCACCCCCCTCTGCGAGCGGCCGAGACACTCGCAGAGGGGGGTGGGGGGAGGGGGGAAGCCCAATGGCACCGCACGGCATGGCATTGTGGCACAAACCCCGTCGGAGAGTGGGCAGGTGCACCCCTCTCCGAGCGGGCCTGGGGCGCCGTCTCGGTGTGAAGCTCCTCTTCGTCCTCCGCGCTCTCCGCGGACGCCGCCTCGGTGTCCAGCCGGGCGCGTTGGGGCCTCGTGGAGGCTGCCCGAATGGGATCGGAGCAGACGCAGGAGGACCGCATCGCATGGACGATGCATCGGCGACATCGGGATCGTGAGAGCCAGGCTGCTCCGCACCGACGCATCGCCGACGCGTCGCGACCCCCCTGCACCACCTGCTCGGACCCTGTTTCCCAGACCCCCGGCGTCATGATTTAGTCATATCGTCGACCCCCCAAGAAGGTTTCGACCCAGTCCCCGAGACTGGTGTCTCATCCTGAAGAACTTGTTGACGGTCTCGAGGGGGGCCCAGAGGCAAAACACGGCGGTGATTTTTCTCATGACTCAGGGGGCTCTGGGTTTGGTCGTCCTGGACCTCGAGGGCGGGCCGAAGGAGACGCGCCTCCCCTCCAGGGGGGGCGACCGGGACTCCTGCGCCGCGGCCTCTGCGCGCTCCAGGGCGCGCTGGTAGCACCGCCCCCGCACCGCGTCGCCGAGCCCCAGCGCCCGGGCGTGCGCGACGGCGCTGTCCGGCACCTCGTAGGCCCGAGCCAGATCGAATCGCGAAGTCTTATGTCGGCGGCGAGCCCCGGGGGGAAGTGAGAAAGGGGCGGGCCTTCTCAGAAGGCTCGGACGTCCTCGGGCCTTCTGAGAACTTGAAAACCCATCCGCGAAGACACGGACAACTTCTCAGAAGGCGCGAGCGCTTCTTGGAAGCCCCACCGCCTCCTGAGAACTCCTTCTCTCACGTCCCCCCTCGCTCGCCACCGAGTATTGGATCCGCCCTGAGATCCTGGCGTCGCAATTTCTTCGAGCCGGGAGATTTCGAATAAGTTCGATCCCCGGGAGCCTCACATATCGATCCAGCTCGAGAAGTGCAGCAGGGCTCCAGTCCTGACTTGTCAAGATGATGCACCATTTCCCCGTCGTCGGATCTCAGAGGGGAACGGATCGGATCGCCAACGAACTGCCCCGACTCAACTCTGGATCGGATCGCTGCGCCTGGCTCCGGCTTGCCCCGGCCGATGCCGGCGAAGCGAACCGAGCCATGACGTCGACACGATTTTTCCACGATGTCGGCCGAACCCCAGACCCCCGACGTCATGATTTTCTCGTGACATCGACCCCCAGAGGTCTCGGCCCATGCCCGGGGACCGCTCTTGAATCCCGAGTCGTTCATTGACGGCCCCGAGGCCTGGCGGGCCTGAAGTAGAGAAACCAACTGCCGTCGTGATGTTTTCATGACTCGAGGGGGTCTGGGACATATGCTGCATCCTCGGGGGACCTTGTCTGTCCCGTCGCGGCCCTATCCGCGTCGAATCCATGACGGCCTCGTCGGATCCGTGCCGAGTCCGTGTCGCATCCGCGTCGAATCCACGCCAACTCCGCGTCGAGTCCGCATCGACCCGCGTCGGGCACATGGAAAACCACAAATCTTGGGGACGGGCGAGGTCCCCCACCGCCCCAGCCGGCGAAGCGAATCGCATCGAGCCGGATCGCGGGCGGCCCTGCCTCGGGCCGCGGAGGCTGGAGGCAGCCATCCTCGCAGGCGCCGCGCCGCGGGGCGGGCGGGTCCGCGAGCTCGGCGGAGCGCTCGTAGCACTGGCGCCGCACCGCGTCGTAGAGCCCGAGCGCCCGCGCGCGCTCGAGGGTGGCGCCGTCCAACGGAAGGGGCTGCGGGGCCTGCGCTCTCCCGAGCTTCCCCTGCGGGGAGGTGTCAACCAGCGATGTTTTCTCTTCCAGCGCTCTCCTGGGAGGGGAGGAGGGCGAGCGGGCACGTCAGCACGACGGTGCACTGGGCGACGCTGGTGTCAAGCAGAGATGTGCGGGGGCGGGGTCCCTGGGCCCGGCCTGGCCCTCTCCATCTCCCCCGAGGCCCTCGCCCTGCCTCGCTCGTCCTCCTCCGCCTCCTCCTCCCTCCCTCCTCCCTCCTCCCCAGCCCCCTTCCCATGTCCCTGCCTATCGCTCTCTCCACCTCCGTCGCTCCTCGCGCGTGGTGCCATCATCCTTCTTCCTCCCTGCCCCCACATCCTGGCATCGTGACAGACCCATGCGACTGCCGCGCCGCGCCCGACTGTTGGCGTTTAGTCGAATTCTGGGCGAGGGTGTGCGGCGAACTTCTGCTCAATCTCATGCCCTCTGACCACTTTCCCCTCCGCCCTCCGCCCTCCCCCTACCCGGGCCCCAAATCCGGCGGGCTAACAGGTGGCACGGCAGGACGAAGGCGGAAAGCTGAGTGCGGAGCGCCGGCGTGCGTGGGAGCGCTGCCTGCGCTGGCTGCCGAAGGCTGCTCCTTCCAGAATTCCCAATCTCATGACAAGATTCCCCAACCCGCGCTTGCACTTAGGAGTTTTTTACTGGCCACCTGAGGAACTGTGTTTGTCCAAGACAATCCAAGGCGCCTTCAAGAGGGCCCCAAGACGGCGAGGGCTCTAAAGTGGCCTAAGAAGTGCTGAAGATAGCTAAAGACGGCCCCAAGACGGCCCCAAGAGGGGCCCAAGCAGGGGACCACGAACCGAACATTCGATATCTGTTTCCCGAGAAATTCCCCCCAAGAGAGGCCTCAGACCCACAACCCAGGCACGGTGGCGGGATTGGCCGAAGGCCACTAGGATCCGCCGCCCCCTGCTTGCAGGGGTGCCTGGCGTGTTAGATTGTATCGGTTTTGGTTTTGGTTCTTTTTCTAAAAGAACTCCCCAGTGGGCTTCGGCCCGTCCCGCCGGCCACCCGGAAAGGATGCCCAGGAGCTCAATTCCCCAATTTCCTGCCCCAGACGGTTCCAAGATGGCCTCCAAGATGCCTCTAAGACGGCCAGGATGGTCTCTAAGACGGCTAAGATGGCCTTATGATGCCTCCAAGACGGTCCAAGACGGCCTCCAAAACGGCCCAAGAGAGTCCAAGACGGCCCAAGACGGCCCAAGAGGCCCCCCAGAGGCCTCCCAGACGGCCCAAGAGGCCTCCAAGAGGTCCTCCAGGAGAGTCCGAAGAGGCCAAAATCATTGATTTTCCCTTGGTTTTTGAAGGATTTTGGCATTTGCGCCTTTTCGGCTCTCCGACGGCTCAAGACGGCCCAAGAAGCCCCCAAGATCGCCCAAGAGGCCCCCAAGAGAGCCCCATGATGGCCCAAGTGGCCTCCAAGATGGCCCCTAGAGGGCCCCAAGAGGGCCCAAGAGGCCTCCAACACGCCCAAGATGGCCTCCCAGACGCCCAAGATGGCCTCCAAGACGGCCCTGGAGCATTCCAAGCGGGCCCCAAGTCGGCCCATAGAGGCCCCCCAAACGGCTTCCGACGGCTTCAGACGTGCCAGGAACCCACCAAGATGGCCGAAGTTGGCTCGAAGCTGGCCCGAGACGGCCCAAAAAGCCCCAAAGATCGCCCAAAGCTTGCCCAAGAGGCCTCCAAGACGGCCAAGATGACCTTCAAGATGCCCACGTGTTCCCCGAAGGCTTTCCAAACCGATTCGGGGAACACGTGGTCCGATAGCTTGGCAGGTCTGGCCTCAACGTTCGGCCACATAGGCGCTTCCAAAAAGGCAGGGGGCGGCGGTGATTCGCCGTAGGCGTCTTCGATCCGCTGCCCCCTGTGGTCTTCCCACAGGGGTGCCTGGCGTGCTGGAGCCTTTCGGTATTGGTTCTTTTTCAGAATTTAGAAATTCCCGCTGGGGCTTCGCACCAGCGCGCCGGTCACACGGAAGGCGCGCAAACGACCTCAACGGCCGGAAACAAATCCTCCAAGACGGCTCAAGATGGCCTCCAAGAGGGTCCAGGTGGCCCAAGATGGCTTCCAAGTTCGCCCAAGATTGTCTAAGATGGCCTCCAAGACGCCCCAAGAGGGTCCAATATGGCCCAACACGGCCCCAGAGGCCTTCGAAGAGGTTTCCCAAGACGGCCCACGAGGCCTCCAAGAGGTGTTCCAGGAAGGCCCGAAGAAGCCAACATCATTGATTATCGTTAGGTTTTGAAAGGATGTGAAATGTTCCTCCCTTTTGGTGTTCCGACCGCCCAAAACGGCCCAAGGAGATTCCCAAATCGCCCCCGAGGCCTCCAAGATGGATCCAGAACAATCCACGAGGCCCCGAAGCTAGCTCCAAGAGGGCCCCAAAACGGCCCAATAGGTCTCGAAGACGCCCAAAATGGCCTCCAAGATGCCTCAGAACGGCCAAGATGGCCTTTAAGACGGCCAAGGTGCCCTCGAAGACGGCCAAGATAGCCCCAAGAGAGCCGAAGGTGGCCCTAGATTGTTCCAAAATCCCCCTAAGACGGCTCCAGATGCCTCCAAGAGGTTCTCATGGAAGGGCCGAAGAACACAAAATCATTGATGGCCTATGGTTTTTGATGGATTTGGGCATTTCCATCCTTTCGGCCTTCCGACGGCCCGAGATGCCCCCACGGTAGCTCCAACATCGCCCAAGAGGTCTCCAAGATGGCCGTGGACGGCTCAAGAGGCCCGCAAGATCGCCCAAAGACCGCCCAAGAGGCCTCCAAGAAGGTCACATGACGGCCCAAGAGGCTCCAAAACGGCCCCATGAGGGCCCCAAGACAGCCCAAGAGGCCTCCAAGACGCCCAAGATGGCCTCCAAGACGGCCCTGAAGCGCCCCAAGACGTCCCCAAGTCGGTTCAGAGAGGCCCCCAAGACTGCTTCCGACGGCGTCAGACGGGCTAGGAACGCCCTAAGACGGCCAGAGAGGCCTTCAAGAAATCCCCAAAGGCGCCCAGGAGGCCCAAGCAGGCCCCCAAGAGGCCTCCAAGAGGCCCCCCAGAAGCTCCCAGGAGACCCCAACAGTGCCCCAAGAGGCTTCCAAGAGGCATCCTCCTCCTCCTCCTCCTCCTCCTCCTCCTCTTCCTTGTTCCGCCCTCTCCTCCACTTCCTCTTTCTCTCCCCACGTGTTCCCCGAAGGCTTCCCAGACCGACTCGGGAAACACATGGTCTGATAGCTTGGCCAAGCTCTAGCCCAACTTTCGGCCACATAGGCGTTTCCAGAAAGGCAGGGGGCGGCGGTGATTCGCCGTAGGCGTCTTCGATAACGCCAACGTCTCAATATGCGCTCATGATTCCTATCCGCGCCCGCATGATGCTCCCAGATGCGCCAAGGCAGCTTCGAGACGCACGGACGCGACTCTGATAGATCCCATTATGATAAAGACGGGGCCGGCGGCAGGGGGCGAAGCCCTCACGGATATAACAGACATCTGCGTACTAATGAACTTCCAGCTGTACGCGCAGAGTCCTTGTGTCGGCCCTGGATCCCCCCATACTGCCGCGTAGAGCGCGCCAGGGGCGGCGCCAAGGGCTTCGCCAGATGGAATTCAGCGCCGACCCAAGCAATTCGCGCGGACCTCCGACAGTTGATGTCAATGCCGAACGTGTGGCTCGAGGAAGAGAGGTCCCTGGCTTCGCTGGCCAGGTGGCCTCGGGGGCGTCCACCGGCTCAACGACGACATGCCCACTGAGGCCGCCGCAGGTGGTGCCGCCGGAGAACTCGGGCTGCTGAGTCTGAAGGCTCTCCGACGACTCCCGTGGGGAGGTGCGCTCGGTGCCCTCGAGCGGCTCGCTGGTGCTCTGCCCGTGGAGCTCGCTGCACTCCGCGCCGTCCGACTGCGGGGGCTGCGGAGCCTGCGGCGCCGGCGTCGCCTCCAGCGGCGGCGGGGAGATGCGCGCGGTGCCCTCGGGGTCACCTGCGCCCTGCCCGTCCTCCGCCTCAAAGGGTGCGCTCTCGTGCGGGCCCAAGACCTCAGCTGATGTCCAAATCGCTGGGGCGTCTGATTCGCATCATAGCAATTGTTCGGTGTTTGTTTAGTTCGGTGTTTGGGCAATTGGAAAATGGCGTCAAACCAAATCATGAGCAAGCAGGCGCTACAAAAATGCTCCAGAGAAGCAGGTAGACCAATGTAGCCTTAAAACCTCCGAGTCCGCGAGCAAAAAGCCCCTGACCCGAACGAGGAGGAGGCTTACACGCGACTCTTAGAATCGAAACGCGATACTTCCTGCGGCACCACTTCCTCCCGTCAATGCAAAACGATGAACCGAAAACTACCCGAGCGAAAATCCCAAAAAGGAAAACACACACACACAAACACGTGGACCCCAAAACGTTTCAGAAACGTCGATCGTGAAAACTATGAAGTATACGCCCCTAGCGTGTTTGACAGTATCTAAGCCCAAGACTTCTTCTGCTGGCTCCTCCGACCGGGATGTCGCAGAGTCGGCATCGGCGAGCTCTGCCGCGAGACCCCCAGCATGCTCAAGGTATGCGCTGCCGTCCTCGGAGCCCCCATCATCGAGGAGCTCCGCCGCGAGGTTCCCTGTCAAGCACCTTCCACGACCGCTACGCAACCTGGCCGCCTCCGAGCGCAACATCTCCACTTTAGCATTCTCGGCATCTCGCTCCTTCCGAAGGCTCCGAAACATAACTTCCGGATGAACCCTGACGGCGACTACTACCCCCCCAACCCCACTGATATGGTCGACTGCTGCTGCTACTGCCACCCGGCGGTACACCTCCAGCCATCCTCATCCCACACTCGGTTTCGATCACCTGCAGAAGACTCATGTGCTGTGGAGAGTACTGTTGTTGGCTTACATGTTGGCGCATGTCGCGCATTCAGCCGCGCCCGTCGCGCACGTGGATTGCTCGCGCACGTCGCTGATTCAGCCGCGCTCTGTGCCTCAGACAATCGCTGTGCATGAAGACTGCGGCCCTGCCCCACCCACACCCATGGGGAACCAAATGCCGCATAACGGCTCAAGCAGGCAGAAATGAATCGGGAAGATCTGAAAACCGGCGGGCCTTGCGGTTGCAGCGGACGTCGCGGCCGTTCCAGGCAGAGCTGCGTAACGCTCCGAGACTGCCCCAGGACGCTCCGGAGCAACAGAGCCGAATCAATGGCCCGGTTGGAAACCTCCGACGTCGTAGCCCTGCGACGGCCCGGCTGGAACCTGGTTCTGTCTGCCCCTGTCTGCTGTGCCCCTGGTCGCATTTACAAGCCGGTCGGAAGATGTTACGTAGTTGACATTGACTTATTCTTCTACGCACGCATGTGCAATCGGACCTAGGCCAGAAGAACATCACTCAAGAGCATGAGACTATCCGCCGGCCAAAATGAAGAGCATTCGAGGGGGCCATCCCCCAGGATGCACAAGAACATTCAACAAGCACGAAACACATTAGGGTAACTGTCCTCCCCGAATCGACCTCGATGTGATACCTCGGTCCGACTGTATTCGTCAGGGAGGGCGGTGCTTCAAGAACATTGGGCTCGGGGAGCCCATTTCTTCTTCCGTGGGAGGAACCAAGTAAAGGAGCGAAGAACGGAGAGGCTGGTGGATCGCACGAGGTCCAGCCTGCAATGCCCTAACAGGGCAGTGATCCTGTGGTGGTGACTTGTGCCCGTGCCGCGTGAAAGTGTCGCTCTGCTCCGCGGAGCGGGAAGCTGGGACAAACACCAGGGACGTTGACGCCTGGGGACCAGGACGTGGGGAGCGTGTCGCGCCGAAGCGAGGTGGGTCAGAACTGCATGAGCGACACGCTAAGCAGAAGTCCCAGACCCCCGACGCCATAATTGTTTCCTGACGTCGATCCCCAAAAGTTTCGACCCACTCCCGAGGACTGTTTTTTTATCCCGAGTCGTTTTTGGACGGTCCCGAGGCCCGGCAAAGGCCCTCCGAATATTAGAAACGCCTTGTCGTGATGTATTCATGACTCGAAAAGGCCTGGGGTTCCAGCCGAACTCTGCGCTCCTTAATTTCGGCGGCGAACGAGGGGGCGAATGAGAAGGAGCAGGCATCCTCAGAAAGCGGCAGGACTTCTCAGAGGCCCTCGCGCCTTCTGACAGGTCTTCTGTGCCTTCGGGGAAGGTTCAGAACACTTCTCAGAAGGCCCGGCCCGGGGACTTCCGAGACTTCTGAGAAAGCCCGCCCCTTCTCACTTCCCCCCCGGGCGCGCCGCCTAGTAGCTCGAGGTGGGGTCGAACACCAGGGACCAGCTCAGGACTCTCGGCCAGGCCTGCGAGGGTGTCCACGAGGCGAGGGTGTATCTCAGAGGCGAGGCGAGGGTAAATCTCCTTCTCGCTTCCCCCCCCCGCTCGCCGAAGGTCCTCTATCTACACCAGGGGGCGCCACGCCCGCCGACAGCCCCCCGGACCGACCACCCCCCCCCCCCTTCCCGGTGCGGGCAGACGCCGCGCGCCGAGAGCGTGCGCCGACCCCCCACTGCGCGGGGCGCGGACGAGGCGTGGGCGACCACCAGCGACGGGGGGGGGGACAGGACGCATAAGTTGGACGCCCGAGCTATCCGGGGTAACTCGGGTCCGGGGCAACTCGGGTTTGGGTTCCCGAAAAACGAACCCGAGTTATCCCTGACCCGAGTTATCCCTGATGATTCGGGGCTCTGGACGCCCGAAATATCCGGGGTAACTCGGGTCCGGGGTAACTCGGGTTTGGGTTCCCGAAAAGCGAACCCGAGTTATCCCTGATGATTCGGGGCTCTGGACGCCCGAAATATCCGGGGTAACTCGGGTCCGGGGTAACTCGGGTTTGGGTTCCCGAAAAACGAACCCGAGTTATCCCTGACCCGAGTTATCCCTGATGATTCGGGGCTCTGGACGCCCGAAATATCCGGGGTAACTCGGGTCCGGGGTAACTCGGGTTTGGGTTCCCGAAAAACGAACCCGAGTTATCCCTGACCCGAGTTATCCCTGATGATTCGGGGCTCTGGACGCCCGAAATATCCGGGGTAACTCGGGTCCGGGGTAACTCGGGCTTGGGTTCCCGAAAAGCGAACCCGAGTTATCCCTGACCCGAGTTATCCCTGATGATTCGGGGCTCTGAATAAGGACATCTGAGCGACAGGCGAAAGAGTCTTACGTTAATTGGCATAGCGACCTTGCGCGGTGGCTTACGCGGGCCGCCGGCGCGGCGTGCTGCATTGTGGAGACGAGTGGAGACGAGAGCGCGTACGTGCGAGCTTACGCGGGCAGCTTACACGCCAATGTCGGCGCAGACGACCCCGTTCTTGTTTGTACGTCGCTCAGCTGACGATAACCACCACGCGTCTGAGCTCTGTGAACCAACACATGAACTTGTGAAGAAGGCGAGACGTGCTACCTGTCGTAACGGCGCCAGCTGGCTGCGAACCACAGCGGGTGGGCCCAGGACGCAGACGGACATTCTCGTACGATGTGCCCCTGTTAACGACGCACGTCCGACCCGGACATATAGCATAAGAACCGTGCAATCGATCGCCTCCCGAGCGGAATTTATAGCCTGCGAGCGCCCGGCAAGGAACTTGCACTATGAGATGTCCGAGCATGCGCACCGCCCTTGCGGGGCCGACGCGCACACAGTATCAGAAAATGGTATGCTGCTCGGCGGTGCCGATGGGACATGCTCACGCTTGCTGTCGAACTCGGAGCACGGTGCGGTCGCGGCCGCAAGAAACCCTCGCAGGAAACCCAACCCCGGAAATCCGTGCGCGAGGTGTTCGGGGGAGTCCCAGGGCACCCATAGTGCAGCAACTTCTGATCGACTGAGGGAAGTCACCGCGCAGCAAACAAAAACACGGCACACTGACGAAAGGCCTATGGCTTCTTGATGCGCATCCCCACAGCACTTGCAGCTGACCTGTCTGTACCCTCTCGGCGTCCCCGTATCCTTCTCCAGCTCCAGTCGTGCCTCCTCGAGCGCGCGCTGCTGCAGCTCCAGCTGGTGCTCCGCCTCGCTCACCTTCGCGCGCCGTCGCTCGAGCTCCTCCTCCCCCGCCTGGAACTCCCTCCGCAGCCTGGCGCGGTCCTCTACGAGGTGGGCGTAGTCATCCTCGTCTTTGAGGTGGTGCTCTACCTGCACGATGTCCCGCACCTGGGCACTTCGACGCCGGCATCTTCGCTTCGGCGACCCTTCGGCCGCTCCCGGAGGCTCTCGTCCCCACGGCCCGACGCAGCTCGGAAACCTGGCCAGCATGGACCTCGGGCGGGGTCTGCTGGCAGATGCGGAGCGGCTGCTGGCCGTCGCCGCCGGGTCTCCCGACCTCTGGCCTGCGCGCCGCGCAGGGCGCGAGGCTCGGAGGCGTTCGCGCTCTCGCGTCGCGCCCTGGGAGAAGGTCCACTCTCTGGCCCAGGCCGCGATGCGCGGCTGTCTTGGCGCTGGGGCGGGTGACCTCCACTGCCCTCCGCAGGGTCCCGGATTACACCGAGACCTCGGGGTGCAGATCTGATGCCCTGCATCTCTCGATGGGCGCCGAGGGGGCCGCCGCCCCCCAACCGACAGACCCCACCTGGGGCGAGCACCATGTGGCGAAGGCGACACGCCCTGGCTTGACGCACCGACGCGGCGAGGTAGACCCACGTCGGAGGGTACAGTCGGGCCGCTTAAGAAGGAACCCTTTTCGTTGGGGAGGGGCTCAGTGCTACTACTTAATTGTGTTACAGCTCTTCTTAAGTTTTCCTCGGGCTATCAGCTATCAATGGAAGTCGAAGTTGTAAGAGGGCCTCGTTCCTCAGATTGGCTCCTTATGACAGCGTTTCGACTGTACCCCCCCCTTTCACAAAAACTCTTGTGAGACCTTGCTCGTCGCAGCGCTGGAAGGCGCACGGCGCGGTCGAAGCCTGCCCAGGGACGCAGGCCTCGGCCTGGAGAGGGGCGCCGCGGCGCGCTGCGAAAGGGGTCCACCGAGGATCCAGGCTCGAGGGCTCGAAGGCGGAGGGCCCGAGGCTGGGGGGGCTCGAGGGTTCCAAGGTCGAGGGCTCCAGGCTCCAGGGCTCGAAGACGGAGGGCCCGAGGCTGGAGGGCCCGAGGGTTCCGAGGTCGAGGGGCGAGTTGTGCACAGGCGCCTGGGGGGGGCAGGAGGGGACGGCCGCGGAGGAGCAGACGGGCGGCGCACTCAGGCTATGCAGGGCTTCGTGAGCAGTGCAGCGATGGCCGGTGTATTTCGAACGCGCAGGCGACTGAGCTTCAGGGGGGCGCCTGTACAGTCGGGCTGCTGAAATCAGGAACGCTAGCGATTGGGGAGAAGGAAAAACACCACCACCATCACCACCACCACCACCACCACCACCACCACCACCACCACCACCACCACCACCACCACCTGGAGCATGGAGGCAGAGGGTGGTCAGGGTTGGTAGTGGTGGCGGTGGTGGTGATGTATATCGTTTCGGGCGCTCTCGCGGGACATCGTACACACCCGCATCCCGCTCATAAGCTCATCCTGAATCATCCCAGGTGGTGGTAGCGGTGGTGGCGGTGGCGGTGGCGGTGGTGGTGGTGGTGGTGGTGGTGGTGGTGGTGGGGGTGGTGGGGGTGGTGGTGGTGGTGGTGGTGGTGGTGGTGGTGGTGGTGGTGGTGGTGGTGGTGGTGGTGGTGGTGGTGGTGGTGCGCTTCCTGCGCCCAAAGATACGGAACGAAACCGATGTTTGGCACCAAGGGAGCCTGGGTGCACGAAGGGGGCTAGAGGCACAACCAAAGACCAACCCAAGGAACAGCGAGCCCCTTCCGAACCCGAAGCCGCCTTCCTTTCAGCGTCTTAGCTGTAGCCATCCCCCCGTTGGAGCTGAGCCGAGCCCACTCCGCTGCCCGCTCGGTGCCGCGGACACTGGGAGAAGCGCACTCACGACATCGATGGTGCAAACAAGTGCTCTTCAAGGGCGCCAAGCCATGAAGGGCAACGAGAGGGGGGAACCGGCCGACGAGAAGGGAAACGTCGATCTGGAATCAGCGATACATCGCCCATCGATCGGCGCTAAGCCCCTAATAGCAAATCAGCAAGTTCCTTGGCGGGGTGGGCTAGCAAGCCCTTACTCGCCAAAGCGATACCCTGCTCTCTCAGGCGGGGCCTCACTGGAGGGGTGGGAGGGGTGGGATTAGTACTTTCTCTGGTTACAGTGAAGTTCGGACCCACCGCTCCCCACCGCCGACCAAAATTGTCTTGGCCGGAGAGAATCATGAGGTTGGTGGGAAGGTGGGTATGCTTTATTGTCGCGGGCATGCGGTCATTGGCGGTCAATGGACAAGTGGGGGTCGATGCATCACCCCCTGGGCTTATCCCCGCCTAACATTGCCCCTGAGCTTTTTGAGGGCGCCATGCCATACCCTCACCTTGCGGGTCTCTTCTACAAATCCGGTCCCATCAAAGGTGCTCCCCGTGCCTTTTCCCGAGGCCGCAGAAGCGCGGTGAGGGATCGGGGCCCCCACTGTGCTGCAAGATCCTCCCAGGAGTTGTCTAGGAGTCCTTTCTTGGGGCTCTGGCGGCCGGTTGGAGACGCCCGAATCACCAGAACCCCCCGACAGTGTTGCGCGATTCTGGCAATCTCGCCTCTGCGGTCGCCAGAGCGTCCAAGACGACCCAGGAGTCTTTCAAGATCGCCTCACAAGGCGGCCCCCGAGCCCCCTGGCTCCAGTCGGTGAGGCCTCGAGGACCCTCGATCCTCGATTTCTCGATGCTCGATTTCTGGATCCTGGATTCCTCGATCCTCAATCCTCTAGAGGACCCCTAGGGGTCAAGAGGTCCGCACGAGACCTCCCTGAGGCATCCAAGCGGCTCCCAAGAGAATCTCCAAGAGGCCTTGGTCCACGACCGAGGCACGCGGAAGGTGCCAAAGGCCACCAGCTTCCCGGCGTCCCCCTGTCAACTGTGGAACCCAGTAGACCCCCCAGAATCCTGCAGCATTCTCCCAAACTTTGGGGAACCGAACTGGACAACTTCAAATTGTCTGACCTCCACCTGGACCTAATCCCCTCTGCCTCCTCCTGCGCCTGGTCCTTGAAGAACTTTACTGGTACATGCGAACATGACATCCTGTAGGAAACGGGCCATGGACTTCGCGGGGCCTTCCCCAAGACCAGCTGTTCTTCATGAACCGCTACTTCCGACGGCCTCAAGAATCCCCAAACTCTGAAAAACCTCGGGACCGCGACGTCCTGTCCAAGGGACAGACGACGACCATCGGACATGTGGCGGGCGTGTTCCAAACATACTTACTTTCGATGGAAATCCAGACTTGGCGACCAGAAAACATCCCGGACCGCCAACACATGAAACGTCAAACAGAATCCGCAGACTCTGTCGGCATGCGGAAGACGCTATTCCGATTGACTCGACGTCGTCGTCGTCGTCGTCGTCGTCGTCGTCGTCGCCGTCGTCCTTGGCGTGGCCGTCGCGTTTGACCCCACTTTCCCTGGCCCGTCGCCGCTCCCCCCTTGTAACTAGGCCCTCCTCCTCAAGCGAGCAAGCCAAAGCGAAACCAATTCGAAATTGAGCAACGACGTAGTTGAGTCGAAGGGAAGCCCCTTCGCTTTGATCCCTTCCCCCTAGGGGAATCGGGTCCTGGAGAGGGTTTTGGGGGGATCCCAGGGGGAGGTCCCAGGTCGGAATACCATCCTCCCCTGGGGGGGTCCTAGGGCCCAACAAGGCCCCAAGACAGCCCAAGAGGCCCCCAAGACGGTCCGAGAGGGCCCCGAATCGCCGAAGAATGGGCAAAAATACTGAAGATGCCTCCTAACAGCCCAAGCGGCTTCCAAGACGCTCGAAGAAGCCTCGAAGAGCACACAAAGAGGACCCTAACATGGCAAAATCAAATTATTTTCTTCATGGCGTTTCACAAATTCTGGCGTTCTCGCCTTCTCGGTTTCTCGACGCCCCAAGACGGCCCAAGATGCCACCAAGATCGTCACGAGCACAAGAGGTCCAAACCAAGAGGTTTCCAAAAAGGCCTCAAAACGACCCAGGAGGGGCCCAAGACGGCCCTAGAGGCCTCCCAGACGGCCCAAAAGGCCCCCCGGCCCCCCAAACAGCTCCAAAAGAGTGCCCACACGGGAGCCCGAACGAACATTTCGAGCCCTCGGCCCCGAGGCCCCAAGAGGCCCCACACGAGGACCCCACGAGGCCCCAAGAGGCTCCACGAGGCCCCGAAGAAACCCAAAGGACTCAACAAATGCTCCCAATGGGCCCCCAAGATGCTCCCAAGAGGCCCCACAAGTGCCCCTAAGAGGACTACGAGCGCGCTCCGAGGAGGCACCACGAAGCATCACTGAGGACTCCCCACGTCAGCGTCGTCGTCGCCGCCGACGCCGCCGTCGCGGTCGTCGTCCCATTTCAGGGTCGGCGGCATTGGCCGTAAGGCTTTCGTAATAGATACTCGGACTTTCTTCATGGGGACTCCTGCATCTGGGGTCAAGCAGAGCGCTTGGCAGAACGATGAATAAGTCCATAAACAAACAGACGTTCGAAAGCCCGCGCCGAGATTTCTTGGGTCGGCGTTGGCGCTCCATCCGGTGGTGCGCGAGGCGTGCCAGGGGCAACGCCGGAAGCGTCTGCGGGTGGGGTTCAGCGCCGACTCAAGATGTCCGCTTGGGCCTTTGGAAGCTTCGATTTTGTTTCAGGGCCGACGGCAGTGGAGAGTCGATAACCGATGACCAGTCCAGAGTCCCGGTGCGCACATTTTACTGAGATCGACCGAACTCGCGTCCAAGCTCCATGAGTAGTCACACGACTTCCACCGACGAGACACAGACTGCAGAAAGCAGCGAGGGGGGCAGGAAAGCGGAGGACGCCGAGGACGCTTCGAAAGCCTGCATGGCTCTGCGTGCTTCTGTGTTAATTACTCGTCTTGCCGGGTCGCCCTGCGCCTGCTCGGCCAGGATGCTGGCCAGGGGCTTGCTCGCCATCTTGACGGGCACCAGCGACGGAGACGGCACGCCGGGCGACGCCTGGTTGCTCGCCGCCCGCTCCTCCTCGAGGGAGGCCTGCTGGCCGGCACGTCCTCCTCCTCTCGCATTCCCCTCTCCTCCCTCCTCCTCCTCCTCCTCCTCCTCCTCCTCCTCCTCCTCCTCCTCCTCCTCCTCCTCCTCCTCCTCCTCCTCCTCCTCCTCCTTCGCGCCCGCTCTTCCTCGTCCTCGCCCAGTTCGCCTCCTCGAACTGCTCCTGGTCCTCTTCGTCCTCATCCTCCTTCCTCTCCAGCCACTCCTCCCTCCGCCTCCTCCTCCTGCTAATCACCATCCTCAACTGCTCGTCCTGCCAAAGAACTTCCTTGTCAGTAGGGCGGCCTGCGCGATTCGCATGAGGCTTCGTCACAACTTACGAGCCTGAATCTTGGAATGGCAACGGGTATGATGATCGAGGGCAGATGTTTGTTTCAAAATGCAACACTTTCGCCTGGTGGCCGCGCGCACAATCGTCTTAAAGGCTTCCAGCAGATGCGAGGATGGAGGGGCGACTCATTATGTGGCTCAAGACTCAGTGCCGTGCACGTGTGTGATAAAGCTTGAAGCTGCGACGTGAACAAATAGTGGGTCGTTTGAAACATGTGGCTGTCGACAGAGCTCCGCGCACACTCGCAAGGAAGGCTCCCAAGAGTTGCAAGGAAGGATGGCGGACCCTCTTCATAACGTGGCTCTCGCCATAGCGCCGCGCACATTCAGCTTAAAAGCTTCGAACAGCTACAATAATGGACGGTTTCCCTTTTTCAACGTGGGGCTCTCGTTTGAAACTGATTCGCGTCGTCAAGGCGGAGCTGGAGCGGGTTGTGCAACATGTTCACACATGGATGGCGGCAGGTTAAAACATAAGGGGGCTCTCGCTTGAGCCCTCAACAGGCGTATGTGTTCACACGTGTCAAGACTGTGCAAGTGTTGCACGGGTGGAAAACACCTCCTTTTCAACACGGGGCCCTCGCTTCCATTGCAGGTCCATGGGGCTCTCGTCTTTCAAGGGGGAGGGGGGTCAGGTATGACAAGGCAACGCTTGTGGGGCCCAGTGAACAGGGAACTTCGGACGGCAGGATGCATTGCAGCATCGCTGATGCACCCTGGGATTCTTCAGGTCCTCCTCCTCGTCCGACTGCTTCAGTCCAGGATCGGATCAGACCTGCAAATCCGCTCCACGCCTCTGGGGCCCTGCAGGGGGGCGCCGTGGCGAGCATCTGTGCTCAAGCGTAGCGGTCGCGCATTTGTGCTGGTCGAGCTCCTTGTTCATCCTCCCCCCTCCCCCTTTGACTGCTTCCCCTCTTCCTGGGAGGAGGGAGTGCTTTGGCGGGAACGAGGTGGATATGAACAATCAACACGAACGTGGCTCAAAAACACAATTCAACTCGCTGAAGGCCCGCACAACGCCGAGAATTCTCAGGCAGAGGGCCGGGCCAGGAATAGCACGAGGGCGCCCCTTCAAAACGAGGCCTGCCCCCAACCCCCGTGCCAGCTGCAGCTATCAATTAGCCTCGTCCCATCACTGCTCAATCCACACACCCCGCTCGCCTGGTACTGGGCCTCCGCCTCCTCGTGCTCTGCGAGGTGCAGCTCCTCGAGGCTGCTCTCCAGCTGCTGGTGTTTCTGCAGCCAGCTCTCCGCCAGCTCGGCCTGCTCTGCAGCGGGCCAGATCGCTGGGAAAGGGGGCCACCTTCGAGGGATTTCGGGGATCGGGAATCGATGATCAAGATAAGAGGAAGGGTCTTGGGAAGCCTGTGACATGTTCTTGGCCTGCTGAGGCGCCGCCCGCGAGGCCACCGCTGGGTCGACCCTGAAATATATACAGGACGCACCCAGGGAGGGCTCAGGGGTCGAAACTTAGGCCTAGGGCGCATACCTCCATGAGAAAACCAAGCGGTGATTGTTCACGATTTCGGCATCTGCGGGCGGCTTGCGGGCCCCAGGGCCTTATGAAAGCGACCCATGCTGAATTCGCCGGCCCAACGGGTCAGAGCCGTGCTACGATCTCCGGTAAAAAGTGGCACGCGTGCAATGGCTCCTGTACAGCAAGGAAGGGGGAGGAGGCGGAGGGGGCGCGCTGGCTGGTGGATGGGGCGATGGAGAGGGCACTCGGGAGGGGTGGGCGGTGCTGTGCCGAAATAAAACGGTCGGGGCGGAGGGGGCGCGCTGGCTGGTGGGTGGGGTGATGCAGAGGGGGCGCTCGGGATGGGGGGGAGGTGCCGCGCCGAAATAAAGGAGTCAGGGCGGAGGGGGCGCGCTGGCTGGCGGGTGGGGTGGTGCGGCGGGGGCGCGGGCGGTGGGGGCGCGCTGGCTGGTGGGTGGGAGGATGCGGAAGGCCTGTATTAAGGGGTCGGGGCGGGGCGGTGCCGTGCCGAAAGGCAGGGGTTGGGGCGGAGGTGGCGCTCTGGCTGGTGGGTGGGAGATGCAGGGGGGGGTGCCGAGGGGTCGGGGCGGACGGGGAGCGCTGGCTGGTGGGTGGGGTGATGCGGAGGCGGCGTGCGAGATTGAGGGGGGCGGTGCAGTGCCGAAATAAAGGGTCGGGGGGGAAGGGGCGCGCTGGCTGGTGATCGGGGCGATGCAGAGGTGGAGCGCGGGATGGGGGTGGCGGCGCTGTGCCGAAACACACTGGTCGGAGCTCTGGACACCCTGTGCAAGAGAATAAAGCGGTCGGGGCGGAGCGCTGGCTGGTCGGACCGGTGGTGCCGTGCCGAAATAAAGCGGTCGGGGCGGAGCGGGCGCGCTGGCTGTTGGATGAAGAAGTCGGGGCGGAGAAAACGCGTTGGCTGGGACCGGTGCCGTGCCGAAATAAAAGGATCGGGGCGGAGAGGCGCGCTGGTTAGGGTAGGGGGGGGGACCGGATCCGTGCCGAAATGAAAATGTCGGGGCGGAGGGGCTGGCTGCGCGGGGGGCGGGGGGGGCGGTGCCGTGCCGAAATATAGCGGTCGGGGCGGAGGGGGCGCGCTGGCTGGCGGGACCAGTGCCGTGACGAAATAAACCAGACGGGATGGAGCAAGCGTGCTGGCTGGTGGATAGAAAAGTCGGGGCGGAGGGGGCGCGCTGGCTGGCGGGCGAATGGGGGGCGGTGCCGTGCCAAAACGAAGGGGTCGGGGCGGAGGGGGCGCGCTGGCTGGTGGGACCGGTGCCCTGCCGAAATAAAGCGGTCGGGGCGGCGGAGGACCCGCGCCGGGGTCGAGGCAGAGGGGCTGGCTGCGCGGAGGGGGCGGAGAGCGGGCGGTGCCGTGCCGAAATAAAGCGGTCGGGGCGGAGGGCGCGCGCTGGTTGGAGGGGGGGGGGCGGTGCCGTGCCGGAAAAAAACAGTCGGGGCGGCGGGGGCGCGCTGGCTGGTCGGACCGGTGCCGTACCGAAATACAGCGGTCGGGGCGGAGCGGGCGCGCTGGCTGTTGGATGAAGAAGTCGGGGCGGAGGGGGCGCGCTTGCTGTGGAGAGAGCGGGGCGTTGCCGTGCCGAAATACAGCGGTCGGGGCGGAGGGAGCGCGCTGGCTGGTGGGACCGCTCCCGTGCCGAAATAAAGCGGTCGGGGCGGAGGGGAGGCGCTGGCTGGCGGGACCGGTGCACTGCCGAAATAAAGCGGTCGAGTGAAAGGGACGCGCTGGGGTCGAGGCGGAGAGGCTGGCTGCGCGGGGGGTGCGGGGGGTGGCGCGGTGCCGTGCCGAAATAAAGAAGTCGGGGCGGAGGGGGCGCGCTGGCTGGTAGGGGAGACGGGGCGACGTCGTGCCGAAATAAAGCGGTCGGGGTGGAAGGGGCGCGTTGGCCGGTGGGACCAGCGCCGTGCTGGCCGAACTAAAGCAGTCATGGCGGAGAGGACGCGGCGGGGTCGAGGCAGAGGGGCTGGCTGCGCGGGAGGGGCGGGTGGGGGCGGCGCCGTGCCGAAATAAAGCGATTGGGGCGGATGGGGCGCGCTCGGTGGTGGGCTGGCTGCTTTGGCTGTTGGAAGAGGCGCACTGGCTGGTGGGACCGGTGCTGTGCCGAAATAAAGCGGTCGGGGCAGACGGGGCGCTCTGGCTGGTGGGACCGTTGCCGAGGGGCCACGCTGGCTGGCGGGCTGGCTGCGCTAGTTGGTGGGGGAGGGATGCGGAGGGCCGAGGGGCTGCTTCGGCATGGCTACTTGAGAAAGTGGATGCGGAAGGGGCGCGCTGGGAGGTGGGGGCCCAGGGGCTGCGGTCGGGGCGGAGGGGGCGCGCTGGGGTCGAAGCGGAAGGGCTGGCTGCGCGGGGGGGCGGGGGGAGGGGGGGTGGGGCGCGGTGCCGTACCGAAATAAAGCGGTCGGGGCGGAGAGGGCGCGCTGGCTGGAAGGGGAGACGGGGCGGTGCCTTGCCGAAATAAAGTGGTCGGGGCGGAGGGGGCGCGCTGGCTAGTGGGACTGGTGCCTTGCCGAAAAATAGCGGTCGAGGCGGAGGGGGCGGTGCCATGCCTAGATAAAGCAGTCCTTGCGGAGGGGGCGCGCTGGCTGGTGGGCTGGCTGCGCTGGCTGGTGGGGAAGGGGCGCTGGCTGGTGGGACCGGTGCAGTGCCGAAACGAAGGGGTCGGGGCGGAAGGGGCGCGCTGGCTGGTGGGACCGGTGCCGTGCCGAAATAAAGCGGTCGGGGCGGAGGGGGCGCGCTGGCTGGTGGGACAGGTGCTGAGGGGGCGCGCTGTCTGGCGGGCTGGCTGCGCTGGCTGGTGGGGGAGGGATGCGGAGGGCCGAGGGGCTGCTTCGGCATGGCTACTTGAGAAAGTGGATGCGGAAGGGGCGCGCTGGGAGGTGGGGGCCTTGGGGCTGCATCGACCAGTGCCGTGCCGAAGTAAAATCGTCGAAGCTCTGGGCACCTTGTGCGAGAGAAGAAATTACCAATATTCTAGTTCGTGCGCGCGTGGCGGCCCCTGGGGGTCCCGGACGCCACCCCGCCCACTATGATCGTTAGCGCTACCTGTGGGGGGGTGGCCAGGGCAACGAGTGTTACGCTGGAGAGGGTACACAAAAACTCACCAATCACCTATTTGAAGTCGATGCTAGCATCTGTAGGCGCATATATGCAGGAATCTAATTAAACGGCTTCTGACTCACCCTCAGGACTGTCTCCCCCAACGCGCAAGCTGACTTGACTGCCACGAGCAGCGACTCTCGTGTCCAGACCGTGCCGCCCCGAGGATGTCTGTGGCAAGCCGGCAGCCTTCAGCCTCTCGAGCTCCGTGATCCTATCGGTCAGCCTCTCGTTCTCCTGGAGCTCCTGCAGCAGGTCCTCCCGACCGCAGTCGGCCATCTCGCTGCCCTCGTCGCTGTCCCCGCTGAACAGCCGCTTCCGCCCGAGCTGGGAGGACACGAAGGAGGAGGGGGCGGCAAGGGAGGCGCCGGACGCGGCGGCCCCGCACCTGTGGGCTGGGAAGTCTGCGCGGGGGGGGATGTCGTTCCCGCTGGGCTGGTGAGCGGGTGGGCTGACGGGCTCGCGCCCGCTCGGTAACCTCCTGCGCGGCTGGCAAGGGCACATAGCTTTGCGCTTCGCACTGCGCGAAGCGCGGAAACTGCGCGCTCTCGCGTCACCCCCCAGGGGAGAAGAGGAGGATGACGAGGAGCCGGAGCCGAACTGCGAAGCGCGAATAACTTCGCGCCCTCGAGGGCGCCCTTGAAGAACTGGGGGGATGAGGCAGGGAGTCGGGCACACAAAAGAGGATCCCGAGGCAAGAACGACCTTCGGTTCGCGGCTTGCCCACTTTTGCATGCGAAGCGACAGTAGCGGCCTGCATGCTTGGGTTTTACCCCCAACTGCGCACCCTGAAAGCCGCGCACCAAAGGCCGTGCCACTGTCATGTGTGGCGGGGGGGAACGTTCCATCGAATGGAGTTCTCAGCCCGGGTACCGCGGGCAGAACTTGTGGGTATGGCTGAGGACATGGCTGCAGTTGTTGCACTCTGGTGCTCCTGAAGGGCGAACACAGCACATATTGCATGGGTCTGAATTTTCGGAGGTCCACGCGGAATTCTTTGGCGGCGCTGGACCCCCTATCCCGTAGCGAAGCGCGCCAGGGGCGGCGCCAAAGCCGCCAGCAGGGGGGTGCGGCGGCGACTCAAGGAATCCGCGCGGACCTCTGAGAATTCTTGGTTTAAGCACTCGGCAACCACATGTGAATCCAACCCCTTCTAGATAGATTTGAAAAACAAACAACTGCTCGGGTTCAGAGTTTTGAAGGACCTCCCCAGGCGTGTGAACGGTTCACACGCCTGCAGAGGCCCTTCAAACTGAACCCCAACGGGGGTGTCCGATGCCCCTGCGATGATTGGACCCGTTACGCCATCTGGGCCGGGCTCGCACGAGGTCGCAGACGTATGCCGCGCTCTTCGAGGGCGCGCCGAAGGGGAACGTGAGAGGGGGCAGGTCTTCTCCGAAGCCGGCGGGGCTGCGGAGAGGGCTCGGAACGCCTCGAGGGCCCACCCCCTGAGCCTTCTGCAGAAGGCCAGAGGCCCCTTCTGGAGAGGCCCCCCTGCGCCTGCCGGAGGAGGCCTCCTCTGGAGCGGGCCCGAGGCCCTCCGAGCCTTCCGGGGGAGGCCCACCCCCCCCTCCGCCCTCCCCCCCGGGGGGCGCGCCGCGGAGCCCTGCACCGCGAGCTCCGTGGAAGGAGTTGTGGAAGGACGCCATCGACCATCCGGCGTGCCCCAGGCCACGGGGGGGACGGAGCGCCCGTCACATGGCCGCCCCGCAGCCCGCCGAGGGCCACGGCCACGGCAGACAGAGCCAGCTTCGAGTCGGGGAGCCGACCTTCTCTTCTTCCTCCTCCTCCTCCTTCTTTCCTCATCCTGCTCCACCCCTTCTTCTCCTCGAGATGGCCCTCCTCCTCCTCCGCCGCCTCCTCCTTCTCCTCCGCCGCCTCGTCCCTATTCGTCCTCCACCTCCTCCTCCTCGTCTCGTCCTTCTCCCCCTTATTTCTCTCCTCCATCTCTCAGTCGCGAGACTGACACCGTCGAACAGAACGGCGTTCACGACCCCCATCCATCGCAGAGGTGCAAGTAAACAGGCCCCTTCCATCATGACTCATAGAAGTGGTGACGGCTCACCGACTGCAGCTGATACTAAGAAGATAGGGCGATGCGAAGCGGAACAATGGCAGGCGGACCCCAACCGCTTTCTGCGTGTGTGGCACTCCCCACCCGCTTTGGCTTAGCGGGCGGCCTGGTAACCTCGAGGGTAGCTATGTTCACGAAAGTGATCCCGCTGGAGACAGCCCCGAGCATTCGAAGACAACTGGCCGGATGTGGGTATGAACAGCATTCGAAGATGTTGAGTCTCTATACTTTTTACTCCTGCACCCTCCCCCATTTGCATTTGATAGGTTTCCTTCCACGCTCTCCCCTCCATTTTCTACTCTCGCATCTCTTGCTCTCTGGCCTCCACTCTCCACTCTCCATTCTCTGCTCTCTGCCCCATCCCATGTGCTCTCGAACCCATCTTGCGCTCGAGGCCCCGAGAACCTTGCCACAACCAGCAGCGATTGGACCTAGAGAACAGGAGAACAGTAAGCTGGGGACCCGGAAGTCGAAGGGCTGGGATCGACTCCTGGAATTTCAGGGACCAGAGGGGGGGTTGGCACGCCCGATGTGGGTAACTATGGAGGGAATGGGTGCGATGCCCAATCGCAAATGTTGTCCAAAACCGGTAGCGGCCGCTGTTGGGCATGCGACTTGTCGCCGTCAGTGGGCAATGTCCGCGGCGACACCGACAACAAATCCTGTTCACAATGAAAAAGATCAGATCTGCTGTCGGTCGTCGTGCCCATTCTTTCCGTACCCATTTGATATATTAATGTATTATTGGCGATAGCTGTCTTTACTCGCCCTGGCCGACCTCCCCCAGGTAACGTCACGATTCGTGCTGACCTCCGAATTATCTTCGGCCATTCCCAGACATTCCCAGACGGCGCTCTGCGAATCGTGACGTCCCCCCCCTCCCCCCCCTCCGTAAAGCCCGCTACCCAAACTCCTGGCGTCATGATTTTTCCGTAACGTCGACCCCCAAAGGTCTCGACCCATTCCCGGGGACTGGTTTTTCATCCCAGGTCGTTTTGTCACGGCCCCGAGGCCCGGCAAGTGCCCCCTGAGGCCGAAAACAAGGAAACACCGCCCGCCGCCGCCGACGACGACGACGACGACGACGACGACGACGACGACGACGACGACGACGACGAAGACGACGACGACGACGGCGGCGGCGGGGGCGGCGGGGGCGGCGGCGGCGGCGGCGGGTGGCGGGTGGCGGATGGCGGCGGCGGCGAGCGGGGCGCCGATCTGCTGGGCGATCGGCACGATCGAAGGAGCGCTCTCCTTCGATCGCGCCGATCGCAGGGACGGGACCGCCTCCTGGAGCTCCAGGGGCCGGCAGGGGACGCAAGGGCAGGGGGCGACAAGGCCAGGGCCTCCGCACAGCAGCGGGCCACGCGGAGGGGTGGCCAGGCGGCCACTGCCGCGGAGCAGCGGCGCTCCAGGGAGCTGAAGGGCCCTTGCCTCCTCCTCCTCCTCCTCCTCCTCCTCCTCCTCCTCGGCCTCAGGGGGCCATTGCCGAACCGAGGGACCGTCAGAAAACCGACCCAGGATGAAAAACCGGTCCTGGGAGATGGGTCGAGACCTCTGAGGGTCGGCGTCATGCAAAATCATGACGTATGGAGGGGGTCTGGGTCGTTCTTCTCCTCCTCCTCCTCCTCCTCCTCCTCCTCCTCCTCCTCTCCTCCTCCTCCTCCTCCTCCTCCTCCTCCTCCTCCTCCTCCTCCTCCGCTTCGCCCAAAGCGCGGAGTTTCCCGCAGGCGTGGAGTTTCTCGACATGTCCCATATGCATCATAGATGGCATTGCGAAGGAACGCTTCCAGCGCCACCAGCCTGGGGGGGGACCCTCGGAGGGGCTACCCGAATGCCCGTCGCCGCCGTCCTAACATCACCACCAGCTGCGTCCAAACCGTCCCGGCGCGGCGAGGCCCCTCTTCTTCTCCTCATCCCATCCTCCAGCGCCTCCGCCTCCTGCGCATCCTGCTGCTCCTCTGGCCACCCCTCCCTCTCCAGCGCTTATGCCTCCTCCTCCTCCTCCTCCTCCTCCTCCTCAACTGCCTTCTCCAGCGCCTACGCCTCCTTCCCATCTGCCTCCTCCCCCTCCTCCTCGGCATCCGCGGTTGCCCTCAGAGACTGGCTCCAGCCCCCACGGCGGCGCCGGTCCGCCTGAGCTGAGCCTCGTCCTCGCTGTACTGCGCGGAGATGCGCCGGACCAGCTCCTGCCAGGAAGCACCGCATCTTCCCTCTCCCCTCGCGTCCCTCTCATCCCTCCCTCACTCCCTCCCTCCCTCCCTCCCTCCCTCCCTCCCTCCCCCCTCTCTCTCGCAACGCCTCGCGACGCTCCCGCGACGACGCGCAACTGGTGATGCTGCCATGGTGGCAACCCGGGTGGCAACCGGGGAGCGTTGGTACCAAGTCCTCGCCGAGGTTTCCCGTCCCTTCCTCCCTCCTGGCCCAGGGGCACCCGAATGGTCCCCACCCCCAAGGGGGCTCCCGGGCATCGGGGTGAATCATAGTCCGAAGTTCCGCCTCAGGAGCCGCCTGGGCCTGTCCTCTTTGAGGCTTGGCCTGGTGGTACTCCTGGCGCACATCACTCATGGCGCACATGGCAAAAAACTGAACTGGTCAAACTGTGCTTCCTAATTCCCGAATGATGATGCAGGGGCGGCCGGGACTGAAGGGAGGTCGGGAGGGGCAGCGAGGGCTGGTCGTTGTGGCGGTGGCCGTGGCCGTCGTGATGGTGACCATGTTCCGTCGTGGTGGTCGTAGCAGTCGTCCCTCCCTCCCTCCCTGCCCCCTCTCTGGGAAGTGGGCCTCGAGGGTGGCCTCGCCTCTGCGGGGGAGGAGCGGCAGCAACAGGAAGAGCCGCTCACACCGAGTGGGCGGCGCGGCCTTCGGCCTCGACCTGCACGTCACTCGAACCTGCAGGCTCCCCTCCTCTCGGGTCTGCTCTGGCCCGGGACCTGGAACCTCGGGAACCCTGAGAGCTCCACCTGTACACTTCGCCCCTCCCGGACCCCCACACGCACACCGGGGTCCATCCTGGCCAATCTCGGGAGCTGCATCCAGCCGTGGCGACAGCAGCGCCCAGGAGACCCCAGAAATGACGAACAACCCATTCTTTGGAACAAGCTGCAGAAGCCTGTCCTCGATCCTCGATGCCCCCGCTTCTGCCACGGCCGCCTTCCCCGCCCAACCGAACCGCTATCCAGCGGCCGTCTCCGGCGTGGCACGATCTGACTGCCGCGCATCGCGGGCAGTGAAGAATGCGCAGGGCGCGCGCCGTGGCCGAGGCATGCCATGCCCCTTCTGCAGGGACCGCGCCTGCGGCCACCCGCGCCGAGCCGGCATTCCCGCGCACTCTCGCGGCTGACGCCGAAAGAGGCCGCAAGCATCGCCCCAGTGAGGTGAGAGGGGGGCAAAACATGGCTCGGACACGAGCTCTGGAGCTCTGGGAGTTCCACGCGGACTGACGGCGCTGCACCCCGCTCCGCTTGCGCGCGGAGCGCGCCGGGTAAGGGGCTGGAGGGGGGGGGTCCCAGCGCCGACCGAAAAATGAGGCGTGGACCTCCGAAAAGTCCATGATACAGATGTGTGTATATGCATACGCATCTGCATATCGGTGTATGCAGCTCTTGCTGCTCCTCAACCAAGAGGCACGAGCATACCGTCGGCGCAGCAATGTCGAGCCTGCGGCGACGGGCCACCAGCCATCACTCCTCCCCGACGAGGCCGAGAGGCACACCTGGTCTCGCCGCCCACGAGGCCGCCAACGCAGGGGAACCCACAAAAGACGTACGCGCCCAACCACGTACATGAACACGGCCCCCTGGTCTGCGAGACCAGCAACTTGATTGATACGAACGTTCGCGCAACGCAAACTCTCAAAACCAACGTGGACTCATGTACGTGTACGTCTTTCTCGTCATCGCTCGGACGTCCATTCCCCGTTTTTTGTTCGGTCTCCTGCGCGTCACATTTTCGCAGGGTCAACAACAATTCGACTCGATGGTCCTTCCCGAGATGTATGCACACGTCCGAGCGATGCCTCCTGAAGCGCCACACCTGGGCGTGGGGGGCCCGCGAGAGGTTCCCACTCCGCCCCTGCCGTCGGGCCTGCCGGGCCTCGCGCGGCCAGCTCCACTCCGAGCGTGCGGACGCAGCTCGGACTCTCGGGGCCTCGCCCACGGGACTGCCCTGGAGCCCCCGATCATCGCACCACGACGACGACGACGAGGACGAGGACAGCGTCGGCGACGAAGACGGCGTCGGCGGCGGCCTTCGGCGGCGGCCTTCTGCGGTCCTCGGCGGCGGAAAGGTGGACGCAATTGACCCGAGGCGACCACCAGCTGCCTCGCCCTACGCCACGAGAATATACACACAGACCCTCTCCCACGAACTTTGCATGTACCTTCAGGTAGGACGGCGGTGTGTACAGTCGCTGGCTCCCAGATGTGATTTACACAGCGCCACCCTCCCCTGAGACCCGGGAACCTCCGTGGAACTGCTGCTGTGTGTTCGGCCGGCCAGCGTTTTGCCAGATGCCGTAGCCGCTTCCTTCGATGCAGGACTTTCTGCATATCCAGGGCATGGGGAGCCGTCGTC